CATTCACTAAATAATTCTAGTAAGAATGTAACAAAAAGTATGCATCAAATAGTACAAACAGTCATAAATGTTTGTTCTTTATTGTCTAACAAGTCTGAAAGGATCAACAAAATAGCACATGTAATTTTCTTCAAATTGCTGGTTTAAATCAACTTTTGGGATATACAACCTGTCCGGACATACAACGTCTGGGTATACATGTAGACTATAAACCTATCATTCATGAATATCTCCATGGAAGGCCAAGGAAATGAATGAATAGATCAAAATGTAAAGATGCGCTGCCACTGTCAGATTGACTGACCTGTCTGGAAAACCATTCTGTCCAGACACACATGCACCAAACTTCTGATGAATCATGTGACTGAGCAAAGAGAATCTCATTGAGTCTCTCTCGCAGAGTTACATACATGTAATGCAGACCAAGGGCCTGTCACAAAAAGGTCTGTGATCAATTGCAAATTTAAATCAACAATCCTTATTGGTCAGCCTTTCAAACAATATGTGCATACAGTGCATGCAGCAATGATCTTGTTTAGCCATTATAATTTTGCAATCATTCGCAAACCTTTGTGTTACAGGCTCGAGGTAAAATTATATCTACCTACATGTATTGAACTGTTTGTACATGTAGGTGCGGATGTTCCCTGTAATCCTTTAATTTAATTTTTTTTTCCTATCATTCATTTCCACCTCATTTTATACATTTAAAAAACAGGGGGAAATTTTGTCTATTATAATACAGGATCTGGATCTATCACAAGATTTACAATCTTTAACTTAAGGTTTTTTTTTTCTCTTATAAAATTGGAAACTGAAATGGAACTGAAAAACTTGGATATTGTTTTTAAATTAACTTCTAGGACATGTGTAAATAAGGGGCTTATTGAAATTGAAAGAGTGTAGATTATAAAGGTAAGCCTCTCTTGGGAATTAAAATGGCTTGAATATAAATTGGTAGATTAATCATCATCAGAACAAAACAAGAGCATTGAAATGTACATGGTAAATGCTTTGTGAAAGAAAAGAGCATTGTAGTGGTATAGAGAGAGAGAGAGAGAGAGAGAGAGAGAGGGGGGGGGGTGGAAGTGAAAAGAATGGTAGAAGGGAAAGTGAAAAAGACTGATGGACATCGTCAGGAGAGAATGAGAATTAGAGGGAGAAGGTTTGTACGTTTAGAATATAAGGTGATTTAAAGTGCAATGTAGTTTGTGAAAAAATAATGTAAGCTGAAAATGTAGTCAAATAATGTGAAAGAAAAGTTTGATGGTTTAAAACCATGTTTATATTCTCATCGTATTTGTTCATGTTAAAAACACTGTTGACTGTAATATACCATAGCTGAGATGATAAAGAAAGTCGCTGCCATACATGTGTGTGTAATTCCAATCCAATCCAAAAGATATTTGATATAGCGCCTTTTCCTTGCGGTTCATTGACTGTACATGTAGAGGCCTCAGACAGGAGTTTAGGGTTTTAGATGGTAGTAGATATGCAATTATATTAGGAGTGTGACAGCCAAAATCGTTAATTTGCTTTGGCAACACAAAGTTCTGCATTGAGACTAAACATTGACAGAGACTTGTATGGAGCTATGATCAGGAAATAACTTCTGCATCTTTTGTTCTGAAAACAAAAAGTAAGAAAATATGAGTTTGACTGAACATGTTGAATTTTCAGGAAAATTGACAATTAATTTTCCCTTACCATGAAAGTGACATTCAGCATAAGTGTGAAACATTTGAAGTAGAAAAAAGTTCATGGAAACACCATTTTAATAACATGAAGGTTTCGCTACTGAAAAAGAAAGACATCCCTCCTTTTTCTTATTTTTTAAATTTTTTAAACACTTTGAATGCTCTGGCTTTAGCAGGGAAAAGCACAAAAATATAGCTAGTGCACTCAAATAAAAAATGTGATGTCCTGCAAAAGTCATGAGAAGACTGGATGAAATTTTGCTTTTAAAATATACTGTACCTAGGACACCATGTAAGTTATTAAACTTCTTTTAAATATATTGAATTGAATTGGTTTGGTTTATTGAGAAATCACATCAAACAAGCAGCCCGCAGGCTGAAAATGTTCAATTTACAAACAAGTTAAAAATATAGAGAGATATAAACATATACAAAACTAAAATACATATTGTAAGTCATTGTAAGATGAAATCGAAATTGCAAAACAAAGTTACACGTGTAATGTGATAATATACTTTCATGTTGAAAGACCAAGACGGTGGGAAGGAGAGAATGGAGAAGAAAAAAGGAAGTTGTTTGAGCGAAAGAGTTGAGAAAGTATTTAACAATTGCTAAACAAACATTTCTATTACAAAAATTGAAATTAAGCATTAAAAAAAACCTATTGGATGAGATGAAATTAAACCGTTAAAGTCAAAGTATGTGTACATGTACAGTTGTACATGTACATGTACATGTATGCACATAATATTGGAGGTCCTTAAAAGGAACTAGACTGAATATGAAATGAAAGGCTTTTAATTAGAAAATAGCGAATTTCATATCTTTCCCAAAGATTCGGTATACCGGTATGCATAACAAATCAAGATTCTTTAGCAGTGCTAAACAATTATTTTACAAATTTGCTTCCTTTGTTTTATTTTATCTTTACTCTAAAAATTTACCATTCATGAAATTAATTTGATTTTTTGTTTACATGTAGATTTTGTTTGGCTCAGTACTATCTGCTACAGTGTAAGTCATTTCCAAATGCATGTCTACATTTTTTCATTATGAAGAGAGCCCTCTTGTGTTGTTGGTTCATAATCTTTAATGACCCCCCCCCCCCCCCTCGCTTTCCGTATAATTGTTTCGGAAGAATCGTCTGTTGCGTACTAGGCAGTAATGCACTTTAGATGCACATGATCCTGTAGATGAGAGGGTAGGAAGTTGGGAGGGTTAAAAATAGTTTGTTGCTAATGTGTCACACAGCTGGAGGGTACAGTGAAGGGTTGTTCAAAATGATATCATGTACATGTATACATGGACACAATGCATATGGGCCTACATTGTATGTAAATGGAGATGGCTATATATATATATACATATGCATTAATCTCTTTAGAGGGGAGGGGGGGGGGGGGGGTTAATTTTTGTTTGTTTTTGTTGTTGTTGTATTGGTATATAAATATATAGAAATGTAGGGTAGGGAATAGGTAGTTCTGTTTTTTAATGCAACTTTTTTTCTTAAGTTGAATTTTATAACAAATTTGGATCAGAACCGGCTGAAGTATGTCTGATGTTTCATGCGGGCTTTTCATGTAGAGTCTACTTTAAAAAAATAGCTTGTATTCATATATGTAATACGTTTGTTCTGACAGCCCTTTAAAGACCTGTAGCATGTACATGTATCCAGATCCATTTCTTGTAAAAAAAAGTTAAAGATATTAATTCTCTATTGTTTATTGCAATTACAGTTAGAGAATCAAATGTAGTTCTAGCTTTAGGCAAAGTAATGTATTATGAGTCATTTCACATTCCGTAGAGGTGATTAGATCAAAGATTAAGAAGAAAATCACAAAATACTATTTTCATTAATCCTAATACATACAGAACCTCTTTACAAAAGAATTAGAATATGTTGTCAAAAGTAATCTAGATAGTCTGGGCCTTGTAACACAAAGCTTATCAATTGATCGCACAATTGATTATTGCAATTGATTCAATCAATCTTGCGATCAATAGCTAAGCTTTGTGTTATGGGGCCCAGATTACATCTGTATTTATGGACTATTTGGTCAAAGAGCAAACATTGATTGATCATCAATATTACTTGAAAAGACATTTTTCATTGAGTCATCCTATTTTTTTTGCGAACTCTAGTTTGTAACACTATGCTTATTTTGTTGGGGGAAATAGCTCAGTCTAATTGCATTTGGAAATGATTTTTTAAATTTTGTTTTAAAGTAGTCTATTTAATGATTATGGTATCTACAATCTTGGACCTACATTTATTTTTGAAATGATAATTCAACAAAATGTGAATCTGGAATAACATTAATTTTATTTTATTTTATTTAAAATTAAAAAAATGAATAAATAAACAAACTTAATGTTCAGCAGCACTGAAAATATTGAGAAGTATGCAGTGCCCATGTTTGTCTAATTTGTTGTTCAAAAATTTAAAGAATGAATAATATAGAATCATCAAAACACCCTCAGATTTTTAAACAAACAAAAATTGAATGACGAGTTCAGAAATATTGTTACAATATGCTCAAGATATGCTCAAGATGATAAATAGAAAAGGTTCACTAACAAAAAATCTTTCCAGAAAATTTGCTCACCACTTCACTTATATATTTGCATCATGAGCAAAGAAACTAAAATCCTAACACAACAGTACGGTATGCTCTGGACCAGTGATTTTGGTTCATGTTCAGATGGATGCATGCTTCCTTTGTATGCTTCATTGCAATTTGAAAACAGATTAACTACAATAATGTCACTGTCATCAGAGTGTACATGAATTGAGTGTAGTGTTTGCCTCCTATTTTGATGAACTTGTGATGTCAGCTCAGCTATATCTTGCAAGACCAAATTAGGTTGTAAGAGGTGGGCGTACTGATCTACCCTTCTTTTCTTAGGGGATGGGGGAATGATACTATTCCATTATAGTGGTGAACATATTATTACATTAACAGTTCTATGAACAACTTATATGCATCCAAAATTCCAAATCATGAAATGTGTTCATATACCTATTGCACATATTGCTTATGGAATGAGAGGAATGTAAAGTCCATTTTTATGCGTTTTTCAGGTCATAAGTATGTTCGATTAGGATATCTTTTAGATCCATATTTAGTTTAACTTGAAAATTGATTTTGTTGACTAACTTTTAGGGGTTTGGGTGGTGTATGCTTTTCTATTAGTTTCCAAAAGAAAAGAGTTGGGGGGGGGGGGTGGCTCAAAAGAGAAGAAACAAAAATATGCAAGAACTATGCAAGTCCGTCCGCCCCTACTGATTTTTTTTTTTTTTTTAATTTGGAAGGATGCCACTGGATGAATCCCCCTCTCACTAACTGTGCACAGATTGCTCACTGTAAGGACAGTCACGATTCTTTTCGGCACCAAGAGTTTTTCAAGGGGAACTTCCTTGATATGTTAGTTCCTGGTTGTCTCTTGCTCATAGGAAATTACACACACTATGATGTATAATTCACACACAGGTCTCGGCTAGGCATGAAGCGCAGAGAGTAAGTGAGTGCGAAACTGAGAGGGAGAGAGAGTTATATGTATTTTTTTAATCATTGGTTATCTGCCATTGCCGAATGACAGAAGTGCCTGAGCAGTCATGGTGAGTGGAGCGCAATTAATAGATCTTTGCTTGTAGAATCTTGTTTGAATACTTGTTGCATGTTCTTTTTATGTGTCAACGTGCACTGACAGCGCTGCTCGCAGAAATTTTAGGGGAATTTACCCAACAAAAGATAAAAATTGAAAGCACGGTTCAGTTGTCATTGTCAACAGAACCACTGAAGTGGGAAATCATCCATACGCATAGTTGTAATATACGTCAGTCATATTGTTTGTTGACATTGAGGGGGATTTTTCGAAGGTAGATGGTATTTGCAATACAATTTGCTACCATATAATGACAAAGTTCTATGTTCTGATCATTACTCTTTTATCCTGATGACGTACATGTAGTAGAGAAATGAGGTTACCGTACACTGTAAGGGGCGCAGATTTTGAGTAAGTTCTGAAATGTAGGCCTATTAAATATTTAAAACGATGTAGTATTCAAGATAAATCAAGTAGAATAGCATTTTCTTCAGAATGTCAATATTTTACTGACATTGCTCCAAAATTTGTTATTAATATATTTTTGCTCTTTATTTATTTTGATATATTTCCTTTCCTGTTACTTTGATAGCTCATGTTCAGATTGTAATGCACAAATATACCAAAAGAAATGTTTGTTTTAAAATTTTAATTTTGAATAATAATAATTTCAGCAGTGCCTAAAAGTGATGTACTATACATGTAATCTGTAGTAGACATTAAGGCTATACATGAAGTTAAGATTCTTATTTCTTACTGCCATGAATCTTTATTTTATTTCGAGTTTGCAAACATCACATTTTGGTTGGCAAATCGATCCAGTGAGAAAAACTGTTTGATATCAAACTTCATTTATTCTGTTAGTTTTTCATTGATGATTGATCCCATTTCCTTAAATATGTGACAGTCATTTTAACTTCCTATTACATGTACAACTTTTTACAATCACTCATAAATTTGTGTATTTTATTTTGATTTTTCCTAAAATAATCAGTTCTTTGATCTTTACAAGGGTTGTCAATCTATGTTCTGATATGTTGAAAGTTTATCATACATGTACAATTTACTTTGTGTATGACATATTACATACTGTATATAATGACTTTTTTCATGAGGTATAAGTAATGGAAATTACTGATCATGATTATTATAATTGTATACCTCATATCAGTATTTTAAGCCTACAAATGGTCAAAACTTTGGACATCAAATGTTACCATTGACTTCTACATCTCATTTAGCAGTCGTTAACAAAACAAAACAAATACTTGTGAAATAACTTTTAATAAGTATCGTACATTGCATGACTTTTTAATCGGAATTGGAACTAGGGATATTTTAGCTATTTTACACATTGTGAAAGCACTTTGTAGGTGTGTCTCATGTGTTTAGATTTACTATCATTTTCTATATAATGATAACCACCCTGACCTATTATGAAAGGAGTTTGAACCCTAATACAACAACTGAGTCATTCAGAGCTATTTATAATGGGTTTCAATCTTCTTGCCTTACACTGTACCTGTACCTCTTTTGTTTCCTGAAAGCCAGTATTTTTTTGAATTTCTATGTTATGCCTGAAATTTGTCTTTGTAGCTTCCTAAGTAACCAGTCATTGATGAAAGAGACATATATTCCCTGACTACATCATGCCTACTATTTCATTAATCTGACATATCAAACACATTTTTAGGATACATGTAGATTAAGTAATTTTTAGCAAATTTCAAATAAATTTATTGAGTTGCCCACAACCAAGAATATCATACAGTAATCAAGTAAATACATGTAGTGTAGGCATACAGTCTGAATGACTAGTTAGCTTAGTAAACAATGGCAGCTGTAGATTATAAAGGCTAATACACCCTGTACAGATTTTTCTTGTTCCATCCAAATGACAAATACAGTTTGCCAACTGCCAAGCTCAAGCAAGCCATTGTGAAGCTTACTTGTGGTAGAAAGAAAAAGATTCAGCATAATATTTGTCGCCAAGAAAGATTTATTAAGGCAAAAGGGGCCTCAGTGACGCTATATATACCGTTATGCATTCTTTATCAATACATGTACATGTATACTGCATTGGACGTGTTTACAATGTATTATACATTGTAGTTTGTTTGCTTTTCACATTGACATAATGCTTCATTATATTGTTGATTGAAAGATTGGAAATCACACTTCATCTACTAAGTACGGAACTTATACATTTACATAATTTACAATGTAGATCGACCTACATGTACATGTACATTGTGTAAATGAAGACATTTTGTAGTCCTAAATGTTTGTGCTCCTTTCATATTATTTTTACATTGCCTAATTCTAGCTTATATTGAAGTAATTCTAACATCCAATGTAGATCAGTTTTCTAATAATGTTTTAGGTAATCTCTGAGGCTATTTCCTATTAAAAGTTTATTGATTATTTCAGAATCTCATGCTTTGTATTAAATTCTTGTGATATAAATTTATGCAAGGAGGTCGAGCATCACATCCAACTTTTCTAACAATATTTCACCTCTTGGCATTCTCTGAGAAACTATACTTTTGTTGTTGTTTTTATGATTATTGTCTTTATGATCGTTGTCTTTGTAAAGATTCTGAGCTTTCAAGTGGTTATTACAAGTTTCCCATTTTATTTTCTACCTGCTATTGAGCAGAAAGGCATACAGAAGTTACCAGAGCAGCATCAACTGAGCAGCCTATTCCCTATCGTAGACCACTGGAACCCCTTCGGTAGCTACGATGGTAGGCAGGTGAAGGGTTTTGATCCCCGCACTTCCTTCACGACCGCGTCCTCGCCCACGAACACCACCACCCCCACAGCCAAGCCTACCGCTGCCCATCCCACCAGCAGCATGAAACCCACAGACCTGTTCAGGGATCAGGTTAATGCTCTATGGTCCTGCTTCAAGGACTGGAATGAATGCGAGCAGACCCTGGTCCTCTACTCCTTGCTCAAAGGGGTCTCTGGAACCCAGGCCAAGTTCCTGTCCCTGGTGCTAGATCAGGCACTTGCAGAGTCGGACCTTCAACATGTAGATAGAGAAGCAAATGATCCTGGTAAGTATATACTCTACCTATATCTTTTATTTCTGTCAACCATATATTGGGCAATCATGTGCAATCTGTCCACTATGACATATGACTTTCGTTCGTTTCTTCAATTTAAAAATGGGAATCTCTTGATGTGACTATTGGATAATGGTTCTCTCTGACATCTCTAACATTATTGAATAGTCATGTCAAAAGATTTTTCTATTTTTGGATGAACTAAATGGAAATAATTCATATTTTTTTTGGGGGGGACTCGTTACACAGAATCACCCTAATAAGTTTTCATTAACTAAGAGGACAAATGAAATGATGGTTGAATTAAATTGAATTTCTTAATTTAGCTATTAATTAGTTTTGTTGTTATTGTTGTTGTTCCCTTATCACATTTCCTTGTGAATAGACTGTTACAACTTAATACCTTTGTGTACATTTAGTGTTTGATTTTTTGTTGTTGAATAAATTTAAAGAGAGGATATAGGGAGAGGGCTGTGACTAATCTGTATCGGTGCTTAACTTTTCATCAAGTAGTTGTTGCCAAAATGAATTTGTAAACAAAAAGTCAACTTTTACCTCTGGCAATACACTTGTAACCAAGTGAAGATGCTACTAAATCGATCTAGCTTAATTTATTACACTTTAATTGATGAATGGCTCTTTAAGAAATTTAAAAAAATCTACATTCAATGAGAGCTTTACCAATTTGTACTAGTCTACCTTCGTATTCTTGAACAAGTTTGATTGACTCAAGAATCAAGATAAAACTACAATTAATAAATTTGCATGACCAAAAATATTGAACACTCGCCCATATTAAACTAGGATTTGATATTCTGTTCTCAGGTAGCAGGATATTTCTGTTAATGTGCATTGTGAGATTTCCTTTGCATGGATGTCGTTATGTTAACTATAAAATCTATGAGGGTAAGAGCAATAAGCATATAGGAAGCTTGCATGTAGAACATACAGTGTAGATGGTTGCTTACAATACAATACAATGCATACTGGCTAGTTCTATAAAAAGTTTGAGGATATTGGCTCGTGATCCAAAGGGACGATCATGCGACAGAAGCAGGTCCCTCACTCAAGGTCTAAACCTGGTAATGCAGGGGTTCCAATGTAGTCTCCCATCTTTATTTCTGTACGGTCATGACAAGTTTTCTCAACAGGATATTGTCGCATCTGGGTTCATGAGGGATCCTTTAGCAAGGGGAAGTTGCTCCAGACTGGGGGGTTAGAAAACAGTGAACTCGCATATAAAAAGATGTTGGAAACTAAAAGGTTATTTCAGTTATAGGACTCTCTTGAATCATTTTCCTCTATCTCCATAAATACATCATGAAATTGTCCTGATTTTAGATTTGGGTGGTATTTTGTACACAATATTTTTGTACCGGTACTACATAGTAACCTTAATTGACAAAATATAAAGTTTCATACTAATTCAGAGCATTCAACTTTGCAAACCCAAATTATGATTACTTAGCATCTTTTGACCTCATATTGCAATTAGTTTCTTTTCAGGGCATCTCAGTGATTGTGTTGTTCCAGATATACATGTAGCATACCGGTACATCTTCTTAATAATGATTCACTTATCTTTTTTTTTCTTTCTTTATCTACACACGAAATTCATATTTTATCTATATTCATCCTGGAAATCCCCCTTTAAAGGAATGACAGAACTTTTAGAAATTAGGGATTTTTTCACCCAATTGTGTTATATGTAGATTCAGGTTAGGTGGATGACATTACAAATACTTTTAAGGGATCAATTGATCCTCGTATGAACTGGGTTTTTTCGTGAGGCAACTAATTCAAAAGTACAATGTTGAATAATGTTTTCTCTTTTCTTGAAGACCAGTGAAAAGTACTGGTACAATTAAAAGCTGTAGGCCAAATTTCTGGAGCTAATCTACATTCTTACACTGTGTTACCCTGTATGTACATTGACATGTATGCCTTGTGCAGTTATCTTAGGTCCAGATAATCAGACATATATATATATCTTAAGATTTGACTTACACTAATAGCTAGGAATCCAGGGACTGGGATGTCATACATAATATGATCATAATTGGTGATAAATTATGTCTGTAGATTTTGTTGATAAATTTGATAACAGTACAATTCCCACATGAATTAAAAAGTTTATGCATTCTGAGCAACTTAATTGGGATGAAACTGTGTCACCAAATCAGTCATGTGATTTTTATCTATCTACAGATGAAACTGAATAAAATTAAGTTTAACGTGATCAGATCCTTGTCTGTTAAATCTACATTTGTGTGGGAGTTTGGATTGGAATTTAATTTTGTTGTGGTATTATTGCATTAGTTATTCCATTATGTTTGTTCTACATGATTATGCATAGGTGGCTTCCTAGTGACCCAGGCTACTTGTTTACCTTCATTCATACAAATAGGAGATGCACATGGAATTAGAAAGGAATGTAGTTTTATATTTTCATGTATTTTGTAATTATTTTTTAATGATGTATTTTTACTCTTTTTACATTGTTATCTTTATTATTTGGCTCTTAAATACTTTGATTGTAACCTGTTGGACAAAAATACCTCTTGCAAACTTTTAGAGAGTTTTTGAAGGGCTGATTATTATTTCCTCAGTAGCCAGGACATGTTGAGTGTGACTCATTTTGACATGACCTCCAGTCAGGAAATAGTTCACTTCAGCCAGACTGCACTGTGCAATCCCACACCCAGTATTACCCACACTCTTTTGTTCAAATCAATTCATTTTAATAAACCACTGAAAACTTTAAAGATTTGAAACCTACATGGGTAGGTGGTATTTAAGATTGATATTATTGTTGTTAGGTTTGTACATCCATACTCCTTTTTACCCCCACCCCCTCCCCACCAAAAATCAACTGATGAAAATAATTTTGGAGAAAAAAATGGAAATTTAAATATCAAAATAGTAATTTAAAGGAAAATGGGTGAAAGAATGGGGAAAAAAACATTTCATACTCTGTTACATAACAAAATTCCAGTCAAATTTGAAAAAAATATATTAAATGAATACAAATTAAAAATAGTGAAATAAAAAATAAACCCAATTTTTTTTGTAATGAGGTGTGAAAAATTTGAACCATCAATCTAGACTTACCAGGAGTTTGGTCACCCACAACCCATCCCCCTTTAAAACAAAAAGTATTTTGCAAGCATACAATGTATGAGGTTACTTTCAAGTATTGTTAGAGTTTCTAAGAATGTTCTGTTTATATTTGAATTGATAAATGAGGTTTCAATTGCTAGATATACAAAGTACTCTCACTTCCACTTTTATGTTAGATTAGATACGATACTTTCGATGGGCATCACTGTCCATTCTCTGTTTGCTTGGACAGTATAACCCTTAGCTCTGTATTCAATAATAAGGTATCTGACAGCAAAATAGATGAAGATATAATTCTAATCAGATTGTGTCAAACAAATTTAAATCTTCATCATGCAAGGCCAGCTTTGTTAGAGGCAGTCATTGTGCATCTGATTCTAATAGCTTGTTTTGCCAGTGACTATCGGTCCTTTTGGTGTGCTTAAGTAAAACTACCTGTAGCTATGTAGTTACCATGGAATTTCATGATTCAGCCATACTTACCGTAATGAGGATGTATATAATAAATCACATGTATACGAATGCACATGTGGCTGTATACATGTGCAGTTTGGGGGCTTTGACAGTAATTGCATGATGGAGGAAACAGAGATTTAGCGGTTAGAAATGAAGCGTGGCTCATTGTAGAAATGGGCTGTTCTCCAGGCATTTCAAATGGGTTCAAGATAATCAGGTCTCCAATTGTAATCCAAACATGAAACCACAATACCATACCGTACCACAAACATGTACCCTTGAATTATATCACTGTCTTTTTAGTAAAGTCTTATTACATTAATGATTCCTACAATGACCAGGCATGTGTTTTTCAGTTAATCAGGGTTTGGATTTATAGCCAGAATTTCTCTTTGTATTAGTCAATATAGTGCAATCAAAAGTGTGAACAATTTAATTAGAAACTGATGTATAAAAGGCCAATACATGCTAATACCATGGGAATGAAAAAAATGGGAGTTGATTCTTTTGCAGGGGCGTTATTAAAGTATTATAGTTGCATCTTCAAATTAAAATCAGGGCTTTATATGCATATATGTGATTGGATGGTTATAAAGTAGGTTGCTCACTCGTGGCATCTTTGCATCCTTATTACATATGAACCCATGCTGTTGACATATCATCCTTTGCTGCGGATACAAAAGCTCAGTTTGAAAGGCTTTTCAAATCACGGTTTTCCAGGGTTCTATAATAGATGCCTGGTATTTTCAGAAGTTATAGCTAGCAATCAGACAACTATAGGCTTATGAGCTGTATCTTGAGTTGAATTGAGAACGAGAAGCAAGCCTCCTCCTGCTGATATTAATCACCTCCTCTGCAATTTATTCACGTTTCCGCTCATGCACGTCTGGAACCTAGTAAAGTTCAACATTATATGTAATGCTATATACTCATATATGTAAAGATAGACTTAAAATATTAAAATCTGGCAGTCTACAAAATGCATGTAATAACCTGTACATGTATGAGTACGTGTCTGATATTGACTCAATATTAGCTGTAATTGTACTGTAGACAATTATAGATATATGACAAATTTTCAAATGGAGGGGCCTACATGTATGTATGGAAGACCCCAAGGACTACAGCCCTAATATGTGTAGGCTACTTAATACTTAATATCAGGTCCTTGGTGTGATATTTTTAAAGTATGCTTCAGGCTTTGGTAACTCTACTTTTTTTTGTAGTGTATAATTTCCATTACATGTACACATGTAGAGGATAATTTTGTCTTTTTCTATCCTGGTTCATTGATGTGGCAAAGTAAACCACAAGTTGATGGGGGTTTTGTACATTATGTGCATGCTTACAGTAGAGTTTTATGTCATGAGGTTACAATAGAAAGCTAAAATAAAGTGAAAGTATTATGGTGATAAGAAGAAGATTTTAACTTTGAGGGCTAAATTTCACTGAAATTGCTCTTGGCTTCTAATACTAAACTGGTTAATGCAAATTATGTTTACAAGGGCTTTTTGTACATGTATATTCACAAAGTGGAAAAGCATGGTAATCTTTAAAGTTTAATTTGCCAATTTTCATATGGCTATGATGCAGCAGTTCTTTTTCAAACCGGACCTGAGCAATCATGATACTGTCACTAAACATGATCTTTTTCTTTCTTGTAATTCTCCCGCAGATTTTGTACGAGGTTTGAACCTTGAGAGCAAAGAGGAAGCCATGGCTCAGGTTCTTTCCCACCTACCACTCCTCCAACCCAGCAGTACGGAGGCCAAGGCAGAGTACCTCAAGCTCATCCCAGAGATCCTGAGCTACATGCAGGACAAAGGCATCCTCCTAGAGGAAGCACACCAACTCTTCACATACCTAGTCATACACCCTGCTCTCAGCTGCGAGGAACAACTCCCAAGGAGCAAATATTTCAACCAGTTTGACGATCACCAGTCCTTCTCCCCATCATCGTGCTACTCCAGTCAGCTGGGCTCAGACCAGCTGGTGTCGCCGTTCCTGAAACCATCCCCCTACGCCTCCCAGGTGGGGTCGGAGGGGTCCTCAACGGGGCTCCTGAGAACGGGGATGTGTGGTGATTGGTATCAAGGGAGTGGTGGAGGTGATGGGGGTGGTGGAGGAGGAGGAGGAGGAGGGGGACTCCTGGTGGGGTCAAACTCCTTTCATCAACCTCTCACAACAACCATGTCTGCACCACCAGCTGTCAATGTAACAGGGCCTTCATCAGGTATGTAACATATTTCATGTTTGTTCAATCATTAATCATTGGTATATTAATAATTTCTTTCAGGACTTCCTAATAACAATGTTGTCAGGGGTTATATTAAGGCATGAGAAAAATGGGTCCTGCTTTAACCCTGTAATAAAAATAAGTTTTTATGACCATCACAGTAAATGGACTGTTACTGAGAACCATGACAATTTACATGCATTCATGTTATGTTTTACTACTTATCCTTAAATGAAATGTTTGATATTAAGGGGATATTCTCCAGATTCCACCTGTCAGGATGCACTTTCCATTTATTTTGGTCGATAAATTTGTATATATCCTGAATGCAGCTGCAGTTTATTTGAGAAGTACACTGCTCCTATTTCATTTCTTGTGTCTAATTTTAGTCATGTTTTCCTGTTAGTTGAATATACGTCAATTATTTCAAGCTGTTTCCAAGGAAGAAGGTTGAATCACTCATATTTCATCCAAATAGGATTGTTGTTGTTATCTTGCAGATGATTGCCTTCTTGGCAAAGGAAAGAGGAATAGCTTCTTAGAAGAAAAGAGTGGAATGAAAGGTGAGTTTATTTTTCTAATTTTTCTAATTTTTCTGATCTTCATGGTTCCATAACCTATATACATGTACATACAGTGTACAAGAAATTCTTGATATATTATACGAGTTCTTTTGGTGAAACCCTCCTCTAACACCATAGGTTCTGTAATCACATTTTTATTAGTATTTTCATGATGAACTCTACTCTATTATTAATTTGAATACTATGAAATTGAATCTTTAATAACCTGGTTATATGGCTTAAAATTTAGAAACTCTCTAGAAATCTAAATAAGGAATGTTTGTGATTTCTTTTCTTATTGATAATGAGCATTGAACTCATGGAAATATTTATATTGAGGGGTTAGTGAAGCTTAGTCATGTACACGCACCTGTTTTTATGAAGACACTTTACTTTTATGAATGAATTAATCTGTGACCTTGTTAGCAAATTTGAAATCTATATTTGCTTGTAAAAGGTCAATGTTGTCAATCTTACATGAATGTCTAATTTGCACATGTTGTGTAGCTTTGTATGTTGCACTATGTTATGCACAATAAAAAAAAATATGCAATGCACACAAATGAGGAAAATCCCTTCTTTTTTTTTTTTATAGACAACGATTGCCTCAAACAGTAGTATTTTTGTATAATAGATAGGTCATGGCTGATTGTATTATGGCTAGGTCAAATTGATGAGTCACTTGATAGTTTCCTGTTTGAATGGAGATATAGAAGTTTCATTCACAATACGTACAGATGATTACACATCAGATAATTTTAATCCAATAGAATGAGGAACAAAGGCCTGTGAAAAGGGGCATCAAGTTGGAATGTTTATACTTATATTCTTTTTTTAAATGGCGTTGCATGTCTGACACTCTTATTTTTGTTGTTAAAAGAAGAACAAATGCTTGTGAAAAAAACTATAGCAAGTTTGACAATTGAGTGTTCGATTTATATTTCAATGTGATTTTGCATTTGTATCTCTAAAGCATTTAGCTTACATCTCTGTTTACCTACTTCAGTGTAACACTTGTATATCTTTATGAAAATTATTGAATTCCTATTGGTCTTCACATTTCAGCATTGGTGCATTAACATTTGATGTTTGATTTATCATGACAGATGTACCAACATGGCTGAAAAGCTTGAGATTACACAAGTATACCAGTCTGTTTGAAAGTATAGACTATAATGAAATGATGGCACTTTCTGAAAGGCAGCTGGAAGAAATGGTAAAGAACCTTATCTCCATAGATATCATTAATTTTTCTTACTTTTATTTTTACCTTTTTTCCTTGGGGGGGGGGGGATTTAATTTTAAATTGTACTTTGTGATTTTCATTAATATTTAGACCTTGTGATTATCAGTTTGCAAATTTTAGTGATATTTATTTTCACATTTCATAGAGTAATTCATAAGATTACTTTGTGTTGTACAGTGTATGGAAATGATGTGAAGCTGAATAAATACTATAATCACAATTTTTTTTAATTGATAAAAAAAAGTTATGTTTATGTTACAATATCTTGAAAGAATTTTAGGCACACCCATTAGCTTTAACAACCCCAAGTATCAAACTATTAATTCAATGACCTATGCTCTGACTTATAGTTTATCTTGCAATGTACATGTACTATATAAACTACAGTATATTGATATACTATGTACATCCTTGAATACATCATATGATCTGACAGTGAAAGAATGATATCCTTGTGTGTTGGTATCTAGTATATTTAATTCACTTTAATACCTTATCATGTGGTGTTCTTAACGTTGTTCAGTAAATCATGTGATGTGGAACCTAGTGAATGATACCCTTCAGTATTTCCAGGTATTTGTTTTACTCTGTACTTTCTCATGTACATTACCGTACATCATTGACAACATGATCATGTGATGTGGAACTGATTGAATGGTGATTGTGTCTATATTATCACAGGATGTGACGAAAGGAGCGAGGAATAAGATCATGCTCAGTATACACAAGTTGAAAGAGAGGCAACCCATTCTCAGAAATCTAGAAAAGGTCAGACAAGATTGAATTGATAAAATGTGATGTCAACCGCATTCATGTTTCGCTTTGTCTGTAACTTTCATTTAAAATGTTTTCTGAAGTACTCTATTTTAATATCTAGGTTATTATTTCAATGCTACATATATTTACAAAATAAACACCAAGGGATGATTAAGGCACTTGAAGTAGGGATGTCAAAATCTTTAAGAGCTTGTAATTACATGTAGGCATATTTCAAATTGTTCAAGTCAATGAGAGTCTTAGAAATGCCAAAAATTCAGAAAGTGCATTTCACTCATGTAATTAAGGAACTGCTGCCAAATAGTATATCTCATCGTGATCAATTATATTTTCGATACATTAGAGGAAGAACAGTTGATGGCTGGAGACCCGAGCAAGTTAAGGGATAATTTTTTTGAAAGTTTGAAAAATGTTAATCGTAAAATTATAAAGTTTACTGTGGGTGAACAACATTTAGGCCTTTCTTTAAATTCTATTCCGCTATAAATAATGTATTACCTGCTGTAAATATTAAAAAATACTTGTTGGTGAAATGCACTGTGAGCATAATTGATTTTAACAAATGAACTACTTGGCAAACAATCACTCAATTGGTCATGCATGTGTACTTCTTATTCATGTATTTCCCTCTTTAAACAATATTTAATTTACTGTAAAGGTATTATGCATTGTTGGTGACAGTGAAAGGGTCAAGAATAGATGCATTTGCCAAATAAATTTATAAGTCATAGAATAGCAATATTTATTTTTAACACTAATAATAAACAATGAATCATTCTCCTAGAACTTTCCCATATGCCTCTAGTGAAATTCAGATAGGTGTATGCACTATTCAATCGGTTATATTTTGTTGAATATATTTAATCATTTGCTTTGTATTGTTAAAAGTTATTGGTAAAAAAGTTATGAGTACTTAGTTAAAAATGAAAATTCCCTTTGAATGGTTGTAACTAGAATACTTTATCTCCTAATGCAGGACATCATGTCAACGGGTAGCTCCAAGAACCTGAGGAACGCTCTCAACGACATCAAGAACATCATCAACACACCGATGCATGCCTTTAACCCCAAAGAGTACCGAAGCAGCAGCAGCAAGTCTGAGGACATCGGTACCAACCCTGCCGGTGTGGTGGGGGACATGAGGCCAGAGAGTGGGACGGACTCGGAACAAGGCTCCATGCCGGTCCAAGAAGGAGACTTGCCAGGACAGATCACAAGGTTCATGGGCAAAAGTAAGCTGTTTATTTTTTCTCTTTTATTGGCATGGGGACTTTGTATATTGTCTTTATCCACAGATTGCCACTACAGTCTAGTCATTGTCAGTGTCCAAGTAGGAATTCTGATATTTTTTCCGGAGAACCAGAATGGTGTTAAATCAAATACTTTAACACAGAGTTGAAACCCTTTCCGCTTTTAAATGATGATATGTGCAAGGTATAGAAGAAGTTCATTAATAGAGAGTTTGATAAGTTACTCAAAGAAGAGTTAATTTTTGTGTACCAAGTACATTGTCCAAGTGGCAAAAAAAGAAGGAAATTGTCTATTTTATTGCTGACAGGTTTTAAAATGCATGAATACTTTCAACCATGGAAAATATGTATCATAGATTTAATGAAGGTACGTGTAAGATAAGTATGAAAAGAAAATTGGGAGATGACTTCTTGCTTTAGGTAAATGTGAAAGAATTACTGCATGAAACATTTCTCGTAAAAATAGTTTGTTCGATTCAGTATGACACACTTTTTTTCTTAGATCCCAGCCCAAGATATTTTTGGTTTCATTACCAAGAGGCACATTGCATAATTGCAATCTCATGCCAATATAGAGAGTTGATAACAACATGGATAAAACCTGATGCACAGTTTGAACAAGCAAGCCAGGCACTTGATTTGATGTGTGAAATTCTAGTATCAAAATTATACAGATTTTTATGAAAAAATTGTTTGAATTAACGAGTAGTTTTATCATAATGACCTGTCCTCTTTGATGATTGAAATACTCATATAATGTATATCACCCTGGTTTAATAGATCATCATAGTGTATCATGGCTTAAAGGTTGGCATGAAAATATAATATTACATTATAAAGAGCAATTCATTACGATAGTATTACAAACGGAAACAATGAGGAAATTTATACAAATTTATTACAAAAAATGAATGTCTTATTAGAAAATCTGTCTCATAGGAATACATATATTTCATAAATAGTGTTCAATGACAGGGCAAATACCCAGGAGAAGAACCAAAGGGTTGAACAACCATCCCAATGTAAAGACAGCATTCATCATGAAGTACATGTCTGTACCTCTTAAAAGACATGATATTTCTCTAGTACATAGTACATCAAACTCTTTAACCTTTCCAATTCATACACCTCCTGATCTTTCCACATGAAGCCCATGATTTGTTAAGCCATATATCTAGGTTTCTGCAACGGAACCCTTATCCAGCATTTCTGAATTGCTATCTATACCCAGCCCTCCCCAGCCTCTCTCTTTAACACATGGAGCATACCATACTGCGTAAACGAGATGCTCGTATGTTAAACTGTGTTGCTGTCACTTCCCCTTCAAAAAGTTTGCTCAGTACCTTATATAGAATGCCATGGGAGTCATGCCAAAAAGGTATGGATGTAATATATTAGGCCTGATTAAATTAAGTTACGAAGTTTCCTTTTCATGACAGAATAATCCCTATATCAAGTGTACGTGATATTCCTCATGTGAGCTCTAGTGATAGAGAATGTTGGCACTTAACCTGATAAGGAAAGATTTTTTTTTTTAAATATGAAAACAGTAAATTCATGCTGATGACCCATTCCACACAGAGTTTCTGAAATGATTTTTTTAATGATTAGTTCATCTAAATTAATATTTATATCTTGCTTTTCACCTTCATTAATTAGGTAAAATTCATTCAGACTTCTTTTCTTTTTCATAAATTAGATCAAATTTATAAATTATTCTTAAATCATTTTGACCTTCTTTACATTATCTTTTGGGGAGGATGGGTTGGGATGGGTAGATGAATAATATTAGATGCTTGTTGCTTACTTACTTACAAGCATACACATGCTTTCTTAGCAGTCAGTTAAAAACAAACCATTGAACCAATATTCATTCGAGATTGTAAGAAAATGTGAATTCTTTCATTTATATGTAGAGAAACTTTATTCTGAATGATTCTGAAATGCATAATTTGCAATAGTGAAGATATGTGAGCCTTTTCATCAGAATTTTGTTCAGAGATGACTGATTGTCACATCCGATTGCCTTATCCAATGGTTGAATTATTCCTTTTCCTGTGTATACATTCTCTATCCCCTAGAGACATCAATTCTATCCTTCTAGAAATGATATTTCTAAAATCCAAAAGCTTTCACTCTAAGATAAGGCAAAAACAGGTTCTTGGCAACCGTATGGACCACCAACATTTTACTATCTAGACAAACATGCAAGTGATGAGTATTTCAAAATGAAATGATGCTTTCTGTAGATGTGATTAAAGCATGCTGTAAACTGCTGTGTCATGAATATACATCCTTACTACCTATTAAAGTACAGATTTCAACATCTCAGCATCTTTACATTTACTTTCATCTTGAAACAAAACAAACAACATTGAATTGTACTAAAATTAGAGCTGACATTAGGATTTGGATGCTGTGAAAAAGTGATATCTCTATTTACACTGGTTTTGATACGGTACCTGAAACAAGCAGTACTTGTAGAATTGTTGATCATGCTCATGCATTGATTATGCTCTTTCATTCATTTCAGTGTGTGGTACTTCCATAACTTTTGTTATTGGTTATTTAGAAGGTCTTGGTTTTTATTTCTCAAAATTGTTGCTAAATTCCTGAAGAGGTCCTTTTGTTTAAAGACAAAATGAAACTTTTGTGGCTTTCATGCTTAAAAAAGGTCTTGATTCATCAATACTGTTTATGACTCAATACTACAAACAACCAAGTCAAATTTACAATGACTGCCCCGCCCCCTACTCTATTACAACACTTACTTTTTTACAAAATGAACATGAAGCAGAATCCCCTTTTTTTAAAACATTTTGTTGTTGTATTTAGCATTATATGGTAATCAGTCTGTCAAATTTGATGATTATCACCAACTATTTATTTGTCCTTCTTAGTATGAACTTTAATTATGAAATATTATATGACCTCTCTTTTATGATTATTCTTTCCCCGATTGGTGTTCCTCTATTTTTGTCGCTATTGTTGTTAGTTTCCTTTTTTTTTTTTTATAGTAAAGCAAGTGTCCATGCACTACCTAATTTAACCCCTCTCATCTCTTCCCCCCTAGTAAAGAAAGAACAGTGAGTTAATGATGCTGTTTATTAAACAAAGGATCTAACTTTATGCTAATGAGGGGGCTGTGGGTGATAGCATAGTGATAAAGATCAACAACAGTAAATAAGGAGACATGTGATTTGGATGAGTAACATTCATATTTAGAGTATTTAGTTTCCTGTACTACTCTCAGGCAGGATACTGACGTAGTGAGCTTCATATCCTCACACTCAATAGCTCTCACAATGCATGTACATCAAAATGACAGCTATTTGTTTTTAATAGAAGGAAATGATGTGAATCTTTTGCACAATAAAAGCTATTGACACAGGGATATGGACAGACGTTTTAATTGCATGTAAAATGACTTCAGGGTATTTGGATTCTATACTTATTAATTATAATAGGTTAAAAAAAGGTATTTAGGGTAGAAACTGGGTAATTCTTAAATCATAAACAATATTTTAAAAAAAAATTTTTGTACATATTACATAAACTGTATTTTTGTATATGTTCGGGCCACTTCTAAGTAAAAAAAAAGTATTTCGATTTCCACCAGGCTGGGCCCCTTTTTATAACGAGTTGATACTTATCGCAACTTGCGATTAGTATCAATCGCAACTACATGTATGTACATGAGAGAAATGAGCATGCGTTGGGTTTGCTGTCTTCATCTTTTTAATAAGTGACTGTCATATTTTGTTCCTCCCCATGCAGTGTGCACTCAGCTGCTGATGACGCCGAGACCTCATGAAGAAACGATAACGCAGTACTTGCAGCTCCTAGACAAGTGCTATAACCATGAGGCATTCACATCGGCACAGAAGAGCAAGCTATTGTCATGGAGAAAGAACTGCCAGAAATTCAGTCCAAACCCATACGCCAGAAAATTATCTATCGATAGCAAGCAGACCAGAGGGTAAGCTGCACAGTACAATTTAAAGCCCATCTGCGTTAGTTTAGCCAGGAGGGATTACACCTCTCTGCATGGTCACTGACAGGTGGTTATCTCATCAAATCAGCTCTCAATTACCATAAGAAAAGGGGACCATGGGAGACCAACAGTCACCACTAAGGCATTGTTTGGTATACAGAGGGCGCAAGTAGTGCAGTGGGGCTTTAATACAATATCAGTTATCAATGCACTCAATTTTTTATATTCTTATACCCTTGGAAAAAAATGTTTCCATAGTTGTGAATTTGCAGACTAAAATGCTTTGTGGTTCTGGGGTATTCATATATGAATGTTGTTAGAAAACTACAAGGGGATATTTGAAGGTTGATAACCTAACAAAATATTGCAACTTGGTATATAATGCTGAATCAGACATGTATTAGCTATCACCTCTGCTTCATGTCCAGGGGTAGTGTCTTCAATTCACCCAGCTACCTGACTCTCATAAACAAGTGATTTGCAAGGGATCAAAGGATTGGAGGCAAATTGTGTGGGAGAGGGGGGATTTATCCTGATTTACATATATAAACCATTTACAGGCTCTCCGAAGTGTATGTGCGCATGTGTGTCTTGAGATTCTATGGAGTGAGTGTCCGGATTGGATAGAGTGTGTTTTTAATGCAGGGTTCATGGATTCATTCTTTGTCTTATTTTCGCTGAATATTTTTAATTGCCAATTATGCAGAGGCTCTCCTAAAGAATGCACATCCATCATAGAAATTGATCTCCACTTCCATGTAGAGCTGTAGGTTTCCATGGAATGTAATTAGTCTGTGAAAATGTTTTCGTCCATTTATGGAAGGACCTCATGAGTATGTCAGAATAAGTTTGACATAACTCTGGAACGCCTTAAGTAGCATTTCCATTGATTGCCCTGTACTATTTAAAATTTAAACTTGTGTTATGTCATCGAGAGGCAGAGACATAACAATACATACAAAGACATGTAACTTCTAATACCTCGTGACATATATCATGCAAATTCTTAACTGGTAAATTAGTAATGAAGTAAAGATCAGATATCAACCCAAGATAATATATGCACTCCATGGGAGTGAGAGTGTGCAATGTTAGGTACAACATCACGATTGAATTAGTGACCAGGATATTAATACCAGTACTTTAAGTGCATTGGGCGGTTACTTTTGAATATCATTTTGTTTATTCCTGGAAAACAAATGAAATATCTTATTGGTTGAAAATCACATAACCAGCAACAGACCATACTCCAACTCATTTCCTTCGTAATTTGTTACAGATGGAGTCATTATTCAGGAGCATTCAACGAGCACGTCGGGGGTAGCACGGGTGTGTCTGTAGGGGGTAGAAGACCAGTCAGTCGACAACCCTTTGGGGGTCTGTCACAACCACATCTCAACCCGCTACTATCTATGAGTAGCCTCGGAAGCCCCAGCCAGGCATACAGACAATCACCGGGTAGTAACATGTTATTTCACAGACAGGTAAGTCCTCTTTGGTCTTTACATTACAATTCGATTCTTAATTCTTTGTGCGGATTGAAATTTGGCCTTGTCAGAAATAATGGGCTCTTATCTCTTTTGATGACCAAGAATGGGTTGGAAATTATTAAATTCGATGCTTTTTAACAAAAAATGATATAGAGGTAGAGCTCTTTAGAGCTTGACCGAATGTGCCAAGACAAGAAAAAAGGATGAAAAAAAAACAAAACAAAACAATTACAACAGATTTATTAGTCCCATGTTATACTCCACATCAATTTTGTATGGGAAGGGGAGTCTAAAGATCAAATTGCAGTGATATTGTGCCACTGTAGATTTTTTGATTCTGTATATATATTAATATCAACAATGAAAAAACCAATGAAGTTTTATGATGTGAGAAAATCAGGTTCCATGGCATTGTTTTTGATCAATCTATTTTCAAACTTTTCAAAAGTCTGATAAACTGAATGGATAGTCTTAAATATTACTAATTCTTAATGCATTGTTTGAGGTAGACTTGATATTATTACATCAAGTCTGACTTGATTTCAGCATAAATTACATGAACTATGCTGTATGCATAAAGTTCAAAAAGTTATCTGCCAAGATCTGGGGAAGGAGGGTCAAATACCCCCCCCCCCCCTTTCCCCTCCTTCCCATTATCCTTCCCCTTCACTAGTCAGCACAGCATGAGTATGGTTGAGGTTAATAATTGGGTCAATCAATAAATCCTGATGCCAGAGAAATTGCAAAATTATATTTTTAAGAAAGAGGGCTCACATGCTCCCCCTGGAGGGTAATGAAAGAAAAAGACAGTAATGTCACATGCACTCTCGCGTCATGTGACTCTCTACTCACTACCCAGCAACACAGGATCTCTTTCATTGCTAATGTGGAAGTGAAAATTACTAATACCCAGTATTATGTGAATCATCTTCCTCTCTTCAAGTTGTCTCTCTCTCTCTCTCTTTCTCTCTCTCTGTGCATGTGAACTTGTCAGAGCTTAAATACGTCCCAGTTTACACCTCTGTGGTATTAAGGCTTTCAGCTGCCAATGATATCGGCAGAAAAGCTGTCTGTCTGTCACTCATCTTACTTTTTTAATGTCACCTATTGTTCACACTTTAAGAAACAGAACTTTCTTTTTGTACTTGATTGAAGTGAAATCTCTCATTTTATAAAGTTTTGTGTAGAAAAAATATTGAAATTATCTGGGGGTAGTAGCAAACATGTGGATTGTAGCTGTAATAAACATTTGGTAATGATGGAATGAATATAGGTTTATCCACACTGAAGGGTGATCATTTTTATTGCTGGAGATGATATGACATCCATCCATTTTAATCCATTTAAAACTTAAATAAAGCATACAATGAAAGAGAGAAAAGGGTGAAATAGGAAAATAGTGAGGGAAGATGTGAAGTCATATCGTTACCCTTTCTATTTACTTAACCGTTTTAGCACCTCGTTAGAATAGGAAACCATTCATACATGCTTAAGTTACATAATTACTCATTTCTATTCGTGATATGAGCATTTGTTTCATTTTGCAGAAAGTGACCTACATGTAGTGACAAAGTGGAACAAAGGCACTTATAACATACATTATAAGGGGTCAGTCTTGCATTTTATACGTCAGTAGAAGTGCATTTAGTAGAATTTGGAAGGTATATTTTTGCACCAATCCGTTGGTACTTTCTGATACTTATGTTCAAATTTACACTTACTCAGCACATCGTTGACCAGAGTATGCTCACTCTTTCGTTAAGAAAATAATTTGCATTTTGCTGTCGTTGTAAACGTTTGTTAGGGTATCCCTTTAAGCTATTAGGGGGGAACTCATGAGCAGCCATCCAGTGAGAATAGACAGGAAACATACAGGGAACGCGTGGAGACTACAAAATGTGAATTCTCATTAAATCATTATAGTGGAAATGATTAACTTTAAAGATAAGTGCGGTAGATGTGTAAGAGGGAAAGAAAGAGAGAGAGAGAGGGGGGACGTGTTTGAGTGATTTATATATATATATAGAGAGAGAGATATAGAGAGATAGAGAGTGACTGGGATGGGATTGGATGGATTACAAGTTAGAAGAGAAATGACTCTCCTGACAGTCCATTATTATGAAATACAATGTGTCACTCATTTGCCAATAATCATAGTTTGCTATCTCTTATGTGTTGCATAGTTTTTATTGTCTACGGCAAATGAAGAAAATGCTTTTTTTTCCAAACATTATCTTTTGGTTGAATTCTAGTTGAATTTTGTCGGAAATGATGGAAAAACGTTGTGGGAAATTATTTTGGGGAAAAAAGAGAACAAAATTACCTTATGGTGTGTTTGAAGAGTGTTCAAGTTTGTGAATCTAGTAATGATCTACCTTGAAAGCTTTCCTTCAATGTTTGTTTGTTGGTTTTCCTACTGCGAATAACCTTTCTCTGTTTGTTTCTTGGTTTTCCTGCCACGAAAAGTACTTTGAACCGATCTAGCTTTACATTATCTTAAATGCTAAGTCATCCTTTTTCACTATTGAACGATTGTCCGCATATATATTTTTATCATGAGTACTGACAGAAGATTCTTTCTCTTCCCATACCATAGTCTCTTGGTGGCAACCCCCACTCCCTGGTGCAGAGGACCAAGTCCGCCCCTAACCATCGACGATCATCGCAACCAGCCCCGCCCACCTACTCACCCCAGCACCCGCCCCTAACCAGGGCAGAGACGCCTCTTCACTCCCTCGGAGAGCCAGACATCACAGATAGATTAGAGATGCTCTGTAGGAGTGTCACGGAGCATGCGTTAGGAGGTAAGGAGATGGTCATCTGATTAGGTGCTTTTTAAAACTCATATTGATGACAGTTGAAGTCTTTGAAGCTATATTTACATGCTGTTTCACTCTATTGATCAGACTGTATAGATGTAGAATGTTGCATAGTTTGTGGTCTTGTTTTCCTCACAATGTTCCATATTATGCCTGACTATTGATACAATAGGCATGATACTTCCCAGACATACCACTCAAATCTTTAGATTTATTACTAAAAAAAGAAATTAATAAGTCCATTGTCTTATCTATTTACCAAACATGTTAAAGCGAGCCTTATTAATCCACAATAATGTGTTTTTGATTGGCATAAATGTCTGTTGGTGAGTGGTATTGGAGTAAATGTCACTTCCAATTATTTTCAAGACATATTTCTTAGGATTAAGGGGTTTTTGCTTTTCCAAAGGGCAGATACTCTTTTCAATAGAATCTTAATTCGATGAAAAAAAGATAAACAGCCTTGGATGATCGGGTATTTTGATAACAATTATCTGTGTATTGATATGAAGTTCATTGTTAAGAATCATGCTCCATGGGATTAAATGAAGATTGCTTGATATCCATCACCAAAAGGTTAAGGGAAATGAAATAAATTATTATCCAGACTAGGGGGGGGGGGGGGGGGGAGGTCCTCATGATCGCGCTACCGTAGTCTAAAGCTACAGTCCCATATACGTCCCGGACCGTCCCGGACCATCCCGGACCCCATCCGGGGTGATCCGGGATTCGGTCCGTGTTGACACCGTGTTGGCACCGGGGTGGTCCTGGATGGTCCTGGATGGTCCTGGATGGTCCTGGATGGTCCTGGGCGGTCCGGGAGTCGACCCCGGATGTTTTTGACGGTCAAAAACTGCCGGGGTGGTCCGGGACGGTCCGGGACGGTCCGGGACAATAGTTTGATCCGGGGTGATCCGTGTAGCCACCATGCTGGGTCCGGGGTCATCCGTAGTGGCGCCGGGGCGGTCCGTGTTGATCCGTGGCAGTCCGGGAGTGAGTTATTGACCGCCCAGGACCATCCAGGACCACCCCGGTGCCAACACGGTGTCAACACGGACCGAATCCCGGATCACCCCGGATGGGGTCCGGGATGGTCCGGGACGGTCCGGGACGTATATGGGACTGTAGCTTAAAATCATCACACTTTTTTGAACAAAACATCCCGGACCATCCCGGATCACCCCAGACCATGGTCCGGGATGGTCCGGAGTGGTCCGTGCTCGTCCGTGCTGGTCCGGCTTTATATGGGACTGGGGCTTTATAGCATTTACATTGATGTGCAACATTCATTAGATCCATATGTTTCTTTGTTTCATTTTCACATTGTTTGTTTGTTTGTTTCTTTCTTCCTTCTGTACAGATGAAGCTGATCACAATGGGGAAATGGCTGGACATTGACATGCCTACCCTTTCACCAAGGAACTGACAAAGAGCGGGATAATGGGGATAGAACTACAAATAAAGACTGCATCAGGAGTTGGATTCCTCCCAGTTGCCCTCCGGCTATCAGAACCCAAGGTGGCTTCAATACAAACCACCTCTCCATGTCTGCCGGTCACGGAATATGGGCATCAAGGGCTTTTCATGATGACACCAAGAAGCGGTCTAAAACTCTGCACCATGAAGACAATGTTGGGCATTGGCTGGCAAGACATCTAGGACCCGTTTCACAAAGCCTTTTTTTAATGAAAAATTACAAAAATCTGTGACAAATCTGCTGATAACCAATCCGAAGCAAGGATTTCAGTAGCTTATAACATTTGTCACTGATGACAAGTTTTGTGAAACACCACCCTGATATTTTTAGATAGGAGAGTAGTTTCTTTGAGCAAGAGGTCTCAGAAGACTTTATATTTTTGGTGGCAGTATTAACTTTGTTTGGAAATAAGCAGCTGTGTGAGATATGTGCATGGAAGAGTATATAGACTGTAGGGTGATTATTTGTAGGCCATCTTTGGTTCCTCCTAGGCGAGATTTAACGTGTCAAAGAAACTCAGGGGGTAGTTTCAGTGGAGAATGTGACTATCCTGAGTGAGAGGTTTGCAACATTTTGTGTTCACAAGGCTGTAAAAGTCACCCTCTCAATCCTTGGTATGATATAACTGTTACCAGCTGATCAAAATGGTTGGCTTTGATAGAAAAGGACCGGACACTTTAGAGATGTTGTGCTACCTGTTGGTGATATTATGAGAAATTTTCAACTAGGTAACAGCATCTTAGTATTTTGTAATATTGTGTAGGAGATATTAAACATGCCTCAGAATATAGAAAATCATTTTCTAACCAATTAATATCTCAGAATTAGCACACTTATCGTCCACTCATTGCCAGCACAGTTTGATAAAATTTTCAATCATAAATCCTAGACCAAAATAGATTGCTCAACTCTAGCGTTACATTGCACCCACATGCAACTGGATTATGACAAAGTCATGCACCCAGCACAAGACAATACACGTTGGTGAACGTGCAGTATACAGATTACACAGTCGACTCATTCGGTGTATACTGTGTAGGCAAATGTCCTTATCATTCATAAGTCACTGAGCTCAGCAGTGACTGAAGAAAGAGGACCCTTGCTACTCATCAGGGCACTGCACTTCGGTCTTAAATCTCACAATAAACGCACCAACATGCAATAGTGCATAGATGCTTATTTTCAATTCAGCACAATTCTACCCCCTTGGGATTTGACTAGGTGGTGCTATGTAAAGATCAGGGTAATCTATCACTGTTTATGATTTAAAAAAAAAGGATTCTGACTTTGTGACGAAATTAGTGTGCTTACCGGTATGTGCATTTACCAGTAATTACTGTCTAGGAATCCAACTCCTTATTTAGGTCTAGAACGTCGTATCTTGAATTCAGACATGCATTTTTACTTTGTTATCTAATCTTGATAAATACACTGGGGTATAGTGTGTTTGTTTGTTTAATTTTTCTTTGTGTGGCAGCTAGAATTTCTAGCAACAATAAGTTGACCTGGTTAAAGTTTTTGTGGCCCTAACTTTTGACAAATAGAAAAATGACTCAGTATATTCTAGAACTAGAATAGTATTTACCTGTTGTATAGATATAAAGTGAATTACTATGTTTTCCCCTTGAGTAGAATACAGTGATATTCATTCAAGATGTCTTTTTTTCTTCTTCTTCTTCTATTTTATGAATCAAAAATTTAAAGGTATGGGAAAATGATGTTTGTAGAGAAGCCGGTTATTCTCAGTTTATTTTTTTTTATTTTTGGATAAGAACAAGACAAAGAGGTATTCCATTTGAAATGTGTGATTTCAAATAAATGTGTAAATATATATATCTATATAAGATGCTGTCATTAGTATCAAATTTATTGTCTACTTTTTTTATAATATGTTTTTTGCCAGTGCATGATGTGAACATGAGTTTCATTGCATGTAGTGGTGAATGGACACTTGTTCAAAGAAGAAAACAAAATGCATAGGTAGTGCATTCAATTTTCCTTGTGGCTATTTATTTCCCAATTGTTTGTTCAGTCACTTACGGTTAAGAGTACCAAGATGTTAATATTTGTATTTATTCTTATAAAATAAGCGAATCCATTTATTATAGATATATGGCAGCATGTAATGTGTCTCTTTATTGAAACGTTGAAAGAAATGACTTGTTTCAAAATTGGAAACTGCATGAAGCTAAGAAGTGTGTAGAAGAAATGTCATGGCCATGCAGTCTACTCTAGTAACTTTGGAACCCAGCAAAAGGTTACTGGAAACCCTTACAAATTTAGAAGTTAACAATTTTGAAGCTGAATGCATTACCATTTTTTTTTTCTTTTCATATATATGAATATATATATATATATATATATATATCCTTTAAACCACAAACTGTTTTATTTTTATTTTTCACATGCTGCACATGGAAATTTCCATTCATATTTTGAGTACCGTTACTTTTGGTTCATCATAGACTATGATTTGTATTTGTAATTGGGAAAGAAAAGAATCAATCAGTATTTTGTCATATTAAAGAAAAAATATGAAACCAGTCTACAAGCAATGGAAAGTGAGCCATCAGATAGACCACATACACAATATTTAGAATAGTCTGTCTGAGATGTATGGAATACCTTTCATTGATTATTTTCATAAATCTAGCGCTAAATTTGACATGCAAATGTATTTTTACAGAGATAAAGGTTTGTACATTACCATTTGATCTGTATTTGACAATTTGAAAATGATGTTTATTGATATTGAATCTCAAAACCAATGAAAAATACTTAAAATGGTGTGTGGTCAAAGGTGATGATATATTCTATATTTCTTTTGAAAAGAGTGCTATTTTGGAGAGAAAAATTGTTTAAGTATTGATATGATATATATATAAAACATAAAATGTGTATAAAAAATGCATGTATATGTAGAGCATATGCTTACAGAAAATGCTGGAAAAACCCAAACTGGTTTGAGTTGCATTTTTTTAAAATTGACGATAGAGTACGATTTATGTGAATTTCTTGAAGAAATTGTGTTCAGTCGTGTAGCAGGAATTTCACCAGCTGACAAAAGCACTTTGTGAGATCAGATTACAGATGTTTTGCTACAAGATTTTATCCTGAAATTATATTTTTTTTCTGTGAAATCATTGTCTAAACCGAACTATGGCATTCTTTTTCTTGTATACAATCTGCTGGTTACAGCTATGCTTGAGGCATATGCTGTCAGAAGATGCCATATTCAACACAATGCATTTTTAAAAGCTGTTTGACACAGCAGATGGACTCCTCGAAACTCAAGCTGGTAGAAAAAAAAATAGATAGAATTTTTTTTGTGGAATATGTGATCATTGTGATTTTGTCACTTTTTTCTCCACCTGAGTAATGTTGAACATTATCTGGATATTTTTCTTGTTTTCAAAGGAGGGGTAAAAATAAGACAATAGAAACCCTTCAATTTGGACACCAAAAAGTGAAAATTAAAGTAAGGAACGTCCAACAAGATAGAAACTAGATATTGAAAAAAAGCAAGTATCTGTTACTGTTTATTTTCTTACAATAAATGATGTGAGTCATTGAAACCTATTCTTATATTTTGGGGAAAATGATAAAAAAGTATTGCTTTGGGTCTTGAAAAAGATTAATCAAACTATCTTGCTAGCAGAGAATTAGTTACAATGATGAGAAGCATTTGAATAAAACCACCTAAACCTTCTTCCACTCCCATTAGATGTTGAAAGACACATGACATTAGAATGATTCACACCTTAAAATGCTGTGTCAAAACACATGAATATTTTCTTCTTGCAAATCCGCGATGATGAAGAATTATTCAATCAATATTATTCATGTCTGCAATAGGAAGGTATGTTGGTGGTTTTCATGTAACCATTGGTTCAAAGTTCTCAGTCATATGATGTGTTGTTAAAGGAAGACTAATTCTTATAGCTATGTAAACAATACAAATTCACCCAGTGGCAGTCCTGTCTCTTAGTTTTATTGGTGCCGACCAAAAAATGCATTTTCCATTAAACTTATCAGGAATATATCACTCTATAACTACATTCATATAATTTCGATATTCTCTGTTTGGACAGAATTCAATCTATTTGAGTAGTGGTACACATGATTACAATTTTGCATTAGTTAGCAAAGAAAAAGTAGCTTGGGCAGAAAAATTATTTAAATGTAAGAACGATTTAAAATCAACAAGGCAGTGCCCAAATGAAATATTTAGAAAGTAATATCAAAATATATCAATGATGATATTGCATTAAAGATCACCGTTATCTATTATTGAGATTATTTTAAACATCTTATTCGAAACAAATTCCCGTCCATATCTAATTTTGATGTACATGTATTCTATATGCTATTTCCTACAATGACCTTCAGTTACATTATATTCTGGCTGTAAACAAAAGATAATTCTCCCACTGTAATGCTATGTTCACTTCTTTATATTCTAATCCTGATTAAAGAATTAAAAAAGGTTTTATTCAAATTCCCCGTATTTTATATCTTTGTGTTATTGATGTTTTGTTTTTATTCATTTTCCTTCTGAGTTTGTTGAATAAGACATTGTCATATTTTAGATGCGATTCTCTTGTACTCCTATTCATCATCTTTTGCTATGGCTCATCCTTTTGGAGACAATCTCAACATTTTGCCTTAACACACTGAACATCTCAATTCTATTGAAGTTTGACCAAGGTCATGTTAGCCAAATAGTGTCAGCATGCCTGTCTCTTCTTAAATATTACTACTTTCTCTCTTAGAAAATTCATATTTCTTTCATTTATGCGTAACTTAGAATGGAAGAGAATTTTAGGGAAAGGAGTGTTCATATTTGATGACAATTGAGATTGAAAACCATGACAGAGTGTGGCCACTTCCTTGCTTGATCTGCAATGCTTAAAGAATGTGCACAGCCTGTCTCACTTGCCCAACAAATAATGCACCTTATTTCTGAGGCATATGATGGGAACACTTATAGTCAATGTCAATGTCACATTTTTTGGCCATGATCTAGTAAACCTTTTCCATATTCCAAATGGTTATTGAAAAACAAATATGTGGTTAAAAACAGTGGTATAAAGTGATTTGTTCTTCCATAATTCAAAAGTGTGAACTGGTTGACTAGTAACCGAGATAACTATATATGTATATGTTGACCAACATCCATATTAAGTTATTCATCAATGAAATCAATCTAAGCAGACTGAAGGAAAATTGTTGATGTTTTAGATAAATCAAAGAGAATTTAAGTTTCTTACATTTTCTGTTCTAAAGTTGAAAACAGAGGTGTTGATATATGATTCGGTCCCAGCACTTCACCATTAGTTCTCACTCCTGGTTGTTCTTGCACTTCACGCACATCTTACATATCACATCATGATCTAGAATATAACTGTATAGCTAGCTCCCAATGCACTTCAAAGGAATACGTACTTGTACCATTTTGCATTTCTAGTCACCTACCCTGCGCTTGCATCACCTCAAATGTATCATACTCAGGAGAGCTTTGTCTTTGTATTGTTTATCTCAATCTATTAATATGTCTGATATAGGAATCATATACATGTATGACGTAAATTGATCTATATTTTCAATGAATACTGGTCAGTGAAAAATCTTATTTTTATATGAACTTTGAAGCAATGGTGAATGTATGGTGTGTATCCTGAGATTTTGACAGATTCTATAAAAATGCTGCTGCTTAAAGGCTTTAATAGAAATTCAGCTTTAAATATAACTATAACTATAGTAGTAGTATTACTTATATTGTGCTAGGTTTGCTGTAGGTACAAACAAATTATTGACGTGTCAAAACCTGGACAGGCAATTTTTTTCCCCTCTTGTAGGGTAAATACTTGTTTTGAAATCTGCTTTTATGCTGATCAACTTGCACCAATCTTTTCCTTGGGGGTGGGGGAGGCTTGGCCTTGTCTATTAAAAATATACAACTTCAATTGTCTAGTTGTGATGGAGCAAAAAATAAACAAGCATATACTTATTTTATATGAATTACTATTTTTACATACTTCCTCCCAGCATGGAAAAAAAACATACTGGAGGACAAGTTACAAATGAAATTCCTGCCTCCTGGGCAAGAATATTTTGTTCATCACTTATCCTCTAGTAAGTTTTTTAAAGAAATATTGTATTATTGCATGATTACAAAGCTGAACATTGTGTTAACTGTATGCAGAGAGATTGAAGGGCATTAATCATTGGAAAATGTGATGAGGTAAATCTACTGTGGCTCTCAGTAAACAAATAAGTATAGCAAAACTTCATCGTGTACATAACTGCATATTCACAAGTCAGATACATATTTACATGTTTATGCTAAATAGTCCTAATGCCCCTTATCTCCCATTTCCAAGTGTTTCTCAAGTAGTCTGACATTTCATCATAGGTATATTACTATACATGCGTACATGCTATTAGTGTAGTATGTATTCTATGTTTTTGTTAAATATTATGAATGTTAAATGTATTCCATATATGCACACTCAATCCTTTCAGGTATTGTGACTGGAATACGATTACCAGTTTGTCTTTATAATAATAATAATAATAATAGTGAACATTTATAATGCACCATGTCTGTCAAAAATGACACTCCTGGCACAGTTGTTTTGAAATTGTATAATTCTGGGCATATGACCATAAAGTAGTTTAAGAAAGAAAGTAAAATACACATAAGTTAAAGTTTAACATACTTCAGGACATAATTTGCAATAATAGAATAATACAATACAAAGCATATTACAATAATAAAAGTTATATAAGGGTGGTACAATGTAAGACATAATTAAACAAACTAATATGTTGAGAACAGAAACGTTTTAAACAAAGACTTAAACTGTGAGTAGGAGTTATAGAAGATATATCATCTTCACATTAAGAATGATTTATTATTAAAGTACATCTAATTTCCACAATCAGCTGAAACTCAAGAAAATCAGAACCCAAGGTTAACATCAGACAATTTCTGCTTTTTCTTGCATTTCCAATGTCATGTTGTGTACTTTGATTTCTTTCCACTAACAATAAAACCGACTTGAGGGGAAAATGTTATATTATCATTTCAAACAATTATTGATAAATGTATGTAGAGAATCCTCAAGAAATTAATGATCCTGTTTTCTGCTTACCATTTCTCTCGTGTATATCTCGTAATGCACCCTATAGGATATACCCTTTGCTTTGTGTCGTCTCCCTAAATTTCAAGGAGAGAAAAGTATATTTTGTAAATTCTTATTGCATGATTGGTGCACATGCATGTGATACAATGTAGATATTCAACATGCCATGCTGCTTCTTGATTGTTATTGAATTGAAATGATTTCATTGTCATGTGGATACAGGTGGATCCTCTATTAATAAAAACACATCACTAAAGAAACTTTGTATAGACTCCTCTGTGTTATCTTGTAAAACCAATGATGATGATGATGATGTAGTCAGGAATGGATGTGGACTATTCACTAATGTCTTAATTCAATTTGGGTACATCTTCAGAATCAAATATGGCCAATTTGTCTTGAAATGTGTTTAAATTACCAGAACTCGAGATGAGCTTTGTAAGAGAGAAAACTAATATCAAATCCTACAAACGAACTACACAAATTGGTGTTTGTATTTCTCTATATAAAGCTTGGAGATAAGTTTAGGATGAGAGGGAAATGGGATGAATTTTTCTTGGGGGTTGTATATTGTTGATAAAATGAGGTGAAATATGCAGGATCAATGCTAAAAATTGAAATAGTTTCAAAGTAAAGGCATCTCACACAAGGGCATAACAAGCATTCCTATTAAAATGATAACAACAAAAATCATGTTTTCATGAAGTAAAGTCCATAATTGTATTTCTTTAATCACATAAAAATATGATACTACAATACAAAATATATAAGAATTTCACCAATTGCACAAGATTTTAAATTTGATTATTCTTCACTCCTACTTTCAGTTTTCAGTTTACTTTCAGTTTGCCTTTTCAATGGTTGGTAGTTTGCAAAATAGACATTCACTTGACCATGTGTCATCTGAATCCAAACCATGCGTTCAATGTCTCATTCATATTCCATAGTCTTGTTTTCCAGTCACTCTCCCCATCTTCTATTTCATCACTATCATCCTCTCTGTTTCCAGTGCAGTCAAGTCTAAAATGGCTACTGATGACTCCTCGACACATTGGACAAGCATTCAAGACTCCCAGGCACATCTCACATACACAGGCATGCCTACACGGTATGATCACCCGCGTGATGGGAGCATTCTGGCAAACAATACAGCGCCTACTGAAATCCAGTCCTCCATCACTGGGGCAATCTCCACCATGAGAAGCAGGTGGAACTTGGTGTTCATTGCAGGGTCTACTATTATCATCATCACCTGGAGTTTGTACCTCAGGAAGACTTCCTGTTTCCTCTGACAAACTGGTCTCATCTGCAGCCATGTACATTTTCTGGAGGAGTATGAAAAAAGATAAACATGGGAAAATAAAGTGCAAGTGACTTCTGAATACAAATCAATAAAAATGTACACAAAATGCGAAACTCTTTTTTTCTTCAATTGACTCACCTCTTTTTACCTTCCCAAAATGATCATGTGGTCTCATCCTACGATTTCAGATTTTGTTAAAGTAAATTATTCTTTAACTGTCACCAGAACCAGAGAATCATGAAGCAAAACTATAATGGATCTTTAATTGCATCCTAGACACTGGTAACAAAGGATTACTTGTCTTACCCTAGGAAAAAAGCACACTATAAATTTGGTTTAATTCCCATGACTTGCCTGCTCAAAGACTAATAACCTAACCATTGACCTCAGGCACTTCCAAATAGACAATAATAAAGAATGGTGCTGAGTGGAAGATTACCTGTACATCACAAACTAATCCTTGAGATGTGATGAGCATTTGACTGATGATATGAAGAGGTTTGGTGATTATGCTGTCTGGTAGATGGACAACCCACAGCATGGTGTGCTGTGCCAAAACAAAAACAAACAAAGAACACTAAAAACAAACAAAATCTGAAATATGTTTTCTACACATTCAGTTTTGCCCCTCTAAGCAAACCAATGTAATTGAATGGAATCTAAAATGTCTCCCATATAATGACATTCCACAAAAATGATCCACATGTAATTGAAACTTCAGAACCTTCAAAAAGATGGAAAGAAATCAATATAACAGAAACTTCAGGGTGAGAGAAAAAAGGCATTGTAATCTACCATTACAGCAATAATAATCCCATTTATTAATCATAATTGGGGTCATGACAGAAATTAATTCCAAAGTCATAAACAATGAATACTACAGATAGAAATGTTGACATTTTGTATGCAGATATGTGGGTATCTACTGCAACGTCAACGGGAAATAGCATGAAGCAAGCCCCAAGCTTTACCCCCAATTTCAATAATTGCATTTGATTTTATGTTATTCATCTTCTATTATTCTTTATTGTGTCTAAGAATAGGAATATTCCCTGTCCCCTGTCCAAGTCACTCCAGTGCTGCCACTTCCATATTTAGTCAACACTAATTGCCTACCTTAAAGATGTTCATACGTGGTATATACATGCAGTCGTTTGTGAAGTAGGCAACTTGGCGATCACTACATAACACTGAGCCAACGGGTATAAAGCTCCCGTACGTATGTCCGTGTGCTGCCCTCTGTATAACCACCCATGAGCAACTTTAACATATATTTACATACCGGTATTGAAACAGTTACCTACTTCCCTCTATATTTGGAACAAGTTGACTTAACAACGTAACACATAATTTATAATTATGATTTCACATGCATGCATATACTTACAATGGATACATTGTGTGACCAGGTTTCGTAGTCTTCATCATGCAGACTCACAAGGATAACTAGAGGATACTTTGACCTTGGGGTTGGGCCAAGGTCGAGGTCAGTCTCACTTCCAGATCCTGCTTTGTCTCCCCTGATGTCATCACTGATTTTCAAATGAATAGATTTGGATGTATCTGCATTCAAGCTGTTATTGATAGATTCGTCGTGAGTTAAAGAAACTATATTCTTATCAATATGATTATATCACCCCTTGACAAACCATATGAAAGAGGGAAGGAATCGTAGATCTGACATGGGAGAATAACTACTCACAGTCTTCTCAACAGGACTTTGCATATCCTTGGTCCAAATTGAGTAAAATGCACTTCCCTCTAGGATCCAAGGTAGATGGTTTGGAGGACTCGATCAAGTTAGCAATTTTGTATTTGGCTTCAAGCATTATGCATATATATGTACTACCCTTGTCTGCAGACAGTATGTCAAGTAGCTGCTGCCCTTTGAATCATTTTCTCTTAAAGCGTATCTGCCATAGTTTACAGGAGGGATTAGACCGCCCTGCAAGGTCACTAGACAGGTGGTTATCTCATCAACTCAGCTCTCAGCTAACATAAGAAAAAGAGGATCATGGGGGACCAATGGTCACCGATTAGGCATGGCTTGTTATATAGAGGGCGCAAGTAGCTACAAGTAGTGCAGTGGGCCTTTAAGTCTCCCATGCTTGGAATATTAAAGCAATAAGAATGGCAGATACAAACAAAAAATAAGCGACAAGAGAGAAAATATGCCATCTCTTGTGAGCCAGAAGGTGTTAACTCTGTATGAGAGTGTAGGAGTTTTACACCTTTCTTGCTCTGAACAGATTACATACAAGTTTTACCCTACACTGATCAGATTACACAAGATGGAACAAATCCACAAGGGTGTCATACCCTGATTAAAAAAAAGAGCTAGGCCCATTGTTGCAGCTGATGATATACATTCAACAGTATACAAAATAATGACATGAAAACATGCAAAGGATACAAATATTTGTTTGAGCTGGAACATGAAATGTCCTGCAGCTTCTCTTCTAGGTCTCTTGTCCTTTCAGTTCTAGTTGATCTCAACATTTCTGAGAAGGCTGTACAGTCAACTACCCAAAACCCTTGAAGGAAGCAGGGTACTCCAGTCTGCACTGTAAGCTCCACTCCATCTATATTATGTGGAATGAACAAAATAATGCAATTATTTACAACAAATACAGAAACCATATTTCAAATAATTCTGAATCTTGACTAAACAGCAAGTTCTCCCCAATCTCATTCGTTCCAGCATAATAAGACAATTAATTTAATTATCAAAATTTGAAATAGTGGGTATACTCTCATGAAATTAAAAGATTTTCAAAACTTTTCTTCATGAAAAGATTCAAAATTAGTGGATTTAGAAATTATAATACATCCAGTAAAGATGTTTGTATAACTGACCCCCCCCCCCCCAAAAAAAAGGATGAAGAAAAATCACCTTTTAATGATGCTGGAGCCGATGATTCTTCTGCAAATTTGACTGTGAAAGGAAGGGTTGAGGTCATGACCTTTGTCTCATAAATTGGTGCACGGTCATCTTGGTGTGAGATGTCTGCGGCAAATTGAATATCCAGCCTAAAGGCACAATGAAATGAAGTGAAGATAATGCAAAACATTATGTTCAAAATCATAAGCAAATTACCAAATTAATTTGCTAATTTTGTTAAATGATATAAATGTCCTTGTAAGGAAACATTATAGCTCTTTCTTTGATACATTGCCCCACTTGTGAGTTGTTTAACACAGGATCAAGGTTATAGGGTCTAACCTTGAAATCCAAATGCTATTCAGTCAGGCAAACGTTCATATCATATGCAAGAGTAATTATAGAGAACTGATGGAATAAAAGGAACAAATATAGATAGGAACAAAAACATAAACAGCCTGATAATACCACATCATTATTGGAGAGCTAATTAAAGTAAACAAACTGGAAAAAGATAGTGGACTATCCTGCATATAAAAGTAGATGTTTTCCTTTTGGCGATTGTTTGGATCATTCTGGTGGAGCTACCATTGGCATAGACCGAAAGCTTCAGTCTCTATACCGTCGGTTGTTCCACTGAGACTACGTCTGGCTCCACTAGACCTCCGGTTATAGAGACAGAACGATCGCCTATGCCAGCCTATGTTGAAGATATCACGGCTAGATTTTAGCCGTTAGGCCCCTCCCACAAACATGAACAAACTTGCCACGGCCGTATCGTTATGCCCCCAAAATCCCCTAAAATATCATTTTACCTCGTGCATATCCAATTTTACATTAGGCCTAGGCTATAATACATCGGTTCCACTTACTAACTTGATTGAAATAATCTGTTTAATGGTCCCTTTTAAGGAAATTATGGGTCAAAATCGACATCCATGTTGAAAATCTTGCAAGCCGTGTTAAACTCTCGCTGCCGTCAATCTCATCCCTTCTAGTCTACGCCGAAGGCAAAATGATTATGAAGGAAAAACTGTGCGCCATCTACACGTTCGTAATGGCGTTATCACAGTTTTTTCTTTTGGGGGATTTTGGGGGCATAACAATACGGCCGTGGCAAGTTTGTTCATGTTTGTGGGAGGGGCCTAACGGCTAAAATCTAGCCGTGATATCTTCAACATAGGCTGGCATAGGCGATCGTTCAGTCTCTATAACCGGAGGTCTAGTGGAGCCAGACGTAGTCTCAGTGGAACAACCGACGGTATAGAGACTGAAGCTTTCGGTCTACCAATGGCATTGCAAAATTGAGTGGCAAAACATATAGGCCCGAATTCACAAAGGAGGTTTAGATTTAACCCAGGCTAAATCGCGTCATAATACGTCATAACCCCGAGCTTTAGACCATGGGTCATTATTTTGGTATTCACAAAGGAAGTTTAGATTTAACCCAGGCTAAATCGCGTCATATTACGTCATATTTTTAGCCTGCTCAGAAGGGTGGTTTAAACAGCGGGCTAAATCTAACCCACGGTTTAACCCACGGTTTAACGCGTCATATGACGTCATACCAGCGAGCTTTGGCTTTTTAGCGCAGACGATCGTACAAATTTTGTTGACAAATTTGTGGTGAAACAAAGTGAAGAGACCTTCACAAAGTTGCTGTTTTTTCAACTTTGATAGCCTACATTGTAAGTATTTTTAGTTATTCACAACATATTTGTACCATATTCTCAGTTCTGCTACAATGGAAGCCCCATTGAACATGATTTATGTGCGTAAAAAGTGCACGAATAATAATCTTCATCGTAAGTTGCACAGCCTTTGCGAACATTGTCGCAGAACCTAACGCAGCTCGGACCCATGCGTGTGTATTTGTGTTGTGTTGTTTATGTAATCCTGCGAGGCAAGGCAATTTCGCAATAACTGCGAATGTGCCAGCTAACAATACGAAATTAGTTATAACATCACACAATTGTGTGATTCGGGAAGAAAAATATTTTAATCATGACATTTGAGACATTCCTGGCCTCGGGGGGGGGGGGGGGGGGGTAGCGACAGTTCCATTTGTATTTTCTGCTTTGCTGATGCTGCTTCTCATCTGACTAACGGAGGAGAACGAAAAATGCCGAAATGAAAATGAAAATTCTTCCACGCTGATGGATTTTACTAGTCTAGAGTCTAGATCTAGTCTAGATCTAGAGTCTAGGCCTACTATATACAGAGGCCTGGTCTAGACCTAGATCTAGACTAGTCTCTAGTACTACTAGGCCTACACTGACACTCAGTACTGACTGAATAAGACCTGAGCTTGAGCTCGAAGTCGGTGGCAGTGAGACACGCAAACACGCCGTGGGCCTAGGCTAGATGATTGATAGATCTAGGCCTAGATCTATCTAGATCAAGAGTCTAGGCCTAGTCCTCAGTCTCAAGAAATTAGTCAAAGCACGCCAAACCATGGCATGAATTTATTAAAAGTAGATTTTGTAAATTATTGTAAAAGATGCAGATCTAGGTCTAGATCTAGAGGTCTAGAATCTAGACCTAGATCTAGATGTAGAGTCTAGTCTAGATCTAGGCCTAGACTAGAGTCTATTCTAGATTTAGAAATTGAAATGGAATAAAATATTTCTCAAAATAGACCTAGGGTCTAGACCTACATCTAGTCTAGGTCTAGTCTAGGTCTAGTCTAGTACTCTAGACTTTCTAGATCTAGAACTAGTACAGACCTAGGCCGTAGGGTCTACCGGTATAGATCTAGACCTGAGGCTCTAGACCTAGATCTAATCTAGTCTAGCCTATGTGGTCTAGACCTTTCTAAACCTACTTTTCATAAATTCATGCCAAGCCCGCGCCGATGGTTTGTTGTGTTGTGTCTTGAGAAGTTGAGTGTTTGTGTGTCTCACCGTCACTGATTTCGAGCACAAGTCTGAGCTGAATGAGAGGTACTTTGTCTTTAGGCCCATCTAGATCTAGATCTAGACTAGACTCTAGTAGATCTAGGCCTACTGACTGTCGAATGTCTCTACACTCGTCTCCTACAAATTTATACTACATCATGATCATGTCTAGGCCTAGAGTCTACATCAATACATTGTTGTAGACTAGGCCTACTTGAATTTTGAAGCAAGTTTAAAATCTGTGCAAGCAAATAGCCAATAAATCAATGTGTGTTCTTCCTAATCTACATGTAATCTTAGTCAAATTCAACCTTTCACATGGGACATCTAATGCTAATTTACATGTACATGTATCTAATTTCACATTTTATCAAGCATGAGTAGATTTTTAACAAAACATGACAGGAATTGGTCCCTACGACCTACGTTCTTATGGAGGTTCACTTCAGTGACATCATCTTTCCTAATTACCCAATATGAATCAATAGCACTCATTTCTTTAATGCAATCAAAGTATCGTTAATATTTTTAGAGTTTGCAAAAGCTATTCAAAATCAGATTTTCTACAATACAAAGAATGCAAAACATGTAATATCATAGGATTTATTTGATAAACAATGAATGATATTTTTTCATTTCATGTTCTAATTTTAATTCACTTTTTTCTATTTTGTTGTGACAGAGACAGCATGACTGAATATATTCACCATTTCCGCCAGCTTGATCGGAACAGAGAGTTGATAGGCAGACCTCAGAGAGGCCTTCGTGACCCATGAACCCTTTTGAAGTGTATGATGATGAGTCATTTCGGACCAGGTACTGGTTTTCCAAAGAGACAGCGCTCTACGTCATCAACTTGGTGGATGAAGAGCTAAGGAGGACGACAGACAGAAACGACCCAATACCTATACAGGTAGTGACAGCACTTCGATTCTATGCTGTTGGTGAGTAATTTACCTTATTTAGTATTTAGTAAATTTCTATTTAATCTGGGCTGAGCGAAAAAGCAAAAGGGTAAAATTGCGGTTACCATGTTTTGCGGGAGGTTTTTTCATAAACCGGGAGATTCTACATCAAAGCGGGAGGAAGGGTGTGGTGGCGTGAGACTCCCTCTAAATGCAAGAGGGTTGACAGCCCTGATTTAATAAAAAATCTTTTCTACAATTTTAAGGACATTAAACATTTCTCAGTTTAATAATTTGATCTGGCCATGTAACTTGTAAGAAATTGTACTAGTTGATATTTCACTAAAAGGATTTTTTTTTTTACAGGGTCATTCCAAAAGATGCATGGTGATGAGGCACAACTTTCACAGTCTTCTGTATGCAGAGTCATCAAAGACGTGTCAGAAGCGTTTGCAAGAAGAAGGAAACAATTCATGAAGTTCCCAACATCAAGAGAAGAAGTAGAAGCAACACCGCAGCAGTTCTACCAATACTGCAGGTTGCCAGGTTTTCTAGGTGCAATTGATAGGACTCATGTCTACATCAGGAGTCCTGGTGGAGATCAAGCTCTGTATTTTATTAATAGGAAGAACAGATACTCTATTAATGAAATGAAAATTTTCCCTTTTTTTGGAGATGCTCCCCATTTACTTTTAATCCGATTAATTAAATGACCGATATGGCATTGGGTCACCCTTTAGTTTCTCTGAACGAAACGTACACCCATGCAGTACTGTGGTCTGAAACAATTAGTCCGTATGATTTGAAATCTAATGGTTGATATAGTTCCTCCCAAAAACATTTTTGCAGAAGGTACCAACCACTTTGAAAGGGAAATCGTCATCATCTTCATCATCATCAACATCATCACTGAATTCGTTATTTGACTGCTTCATCACCATCACCACCGACAACATTGCTGTCATCATTATCATCACTGACATCATCATCGACTTCAACATTGTCTTCGTCAATAACCTTGAATACTTGTTTGGATTATCCATATTAAATCGTCAATATTTAAATATAAATTTCTCTTGTTTGATGGTGTGGTTTTTGCCGTGAAATCATTAAGTTAGGAGGTAAACGTTTTACAAGTGAATGACGTACTTTCTTTATCTTGTTTAATTATTAATATACCATTTGCTGTTATCTATTACTTATAATTACCCAGTACACACCATGAATTAAATGGATTCGGTATGTTTCGCTAAATCCAAACACCAACAGAGAGAGAGAGAGCAAAAGATAAAGAGAGAGATGAAGAAAGAAGGAGAAAGAGTATGTGTGAGAGAGAGAGAGAGGTGGAGAAAAAAGAGAAAGAAAAGGGGTACGAGAGGGATTTTAAAAAATGGAGTTCTAACGAAGTAAAAAGATATTTGAGAGAGGTGGGGTGGAGAGCTGGTGAAAAAAGAGAGACATTGAGAAATTCAATAAAGCAGAAAAATTAAGAAAAAAAAGTGAACGCCCCCCTAAGAAAAGAATTAATACAGCAAATAAACAAATTCAGAAAAAATTAATGCCCCCCTAAAAAAACAATTAATGCCCCCTCCCCCCTAAGAAAAATTAAAAACAAAATAACCCCCACCCCCAGTAAAGCCCACCCGCTAAGAAAACAATTAATGCCCCCTCCCCTCTATGAAAAATTAAGAACAAAATTAACCCCCCCCCCTCCCCCCCCCCTAAAAAAAAAACCCATCCACTAAGAAAACAATTAATGTCCCCTACCCCCCCCCCCCCCCCCCCGAATTAGGCCTAATAATTCTTTATCACATGTCAAGACTGCCTTGTTTTTGCTGTCCTGCTATTTTATATGAGCAGTAAGCCCGGTTTTTTTTTCTTCAATACAGCATTTTATGCATTAATGCCAGTATTTTCTATCAGATAGTATTTATCGTAACCTTTCAGCCCTTTCTTTCTACATCATCAACACATTCTGGACTAAACGTCATCGATCGCTTTCGCTGCCTCTACGGAGTCTACGCTATTATATAACACGAGTCTACTCTTACTTCGGATTGATTAATTGCTAAACTAAAGTGTGACCTACGCTCTAAAATCATCGTAACAATCAACGGAAATGTGATCATAAAGCTGTAAAATGAATACTACATCATAGAAAATGTTCACTCTGGTATAAGGGTCGTTTACAGAAGTTTTTTGTGGACTCTTCCACGAAAACTGTCGATGTTTAGTGTGTTGTGATGCCTAGCTGATCATAATTATGTCGGACGATTATAGGCCATAAATTAACAACGATAGTGAGGAATTATTGAGGTAATTTATGCGAAATTCGGTAATATTTTGAGGACATCTGTCAGAGCACTGTTTTAGTATGTGAATAGTGGTTTAAAGTCTTATCTCAACTTAGAATCGGTCGGTTTTCAATCTCTACTTGTAGGCGAAGAGTAATAGCCCAAATACAACTAAATCTAGACTTAGCAGACGACGGTGAACTAGGTGGAGTAACCAAGTGTACTGAGCGCGCATGCTCAGTTCAATGCTTCAATTCTGCGCATGCTCAGTTTATTTTTTTGCTCTCTTAGGCATGCTTAAACCGTGGGTTAAACCGTGGGTTAGATTTAGACCATGGGTTATTTAACCCACGCTTTGTGAATACCGAGCGAGGTTTAAACCGTGGGTTAGATTTAGCCTGGGCTAAATAACCCAGGGTTAGATTTAGCCTGGGTTAAATCTAAACCTCCTTTGTGAATTCGGGCCATAGGGTCTAGATCTACTGACCATTTCATAATTAAAGGATAACATTTCAATTTTAGGGCATTTATTGTGAATCAAATGTGTCATTTGCTCTTTGACTGAGCTACAAGTTTAGCAAAATCTAACTGTAACCAAAAGGTAACAACAAAAGAACCCAACAAATTTGAGTCTGACTTTGTTATTATTTGCTGTAGGTACCCGGTTACGTCCGCGGCCGGTAGTCTCCCACCATTAGCGCGAGCATCTCTGCCTCAGCTGCTGGCTGGCTGGCTAGCTGGCTACTCGATCTCAGCTCTGCCTCTGTCCTGCTATAGGAAACAACGAAAAATTGAACAATGTCATAATATTATACTGAGATAATACTTACCGCTGGATGTAAAAATAGAAAATGACCACGCATAATATGATTCCGGTGACTGAAATAATTTCTGATGGGAATTCACTCAAATAATTCAGGAGCTCATCACCCAATGTTGCCTCTCCCATCTCGAACGCTGATCAGCTATATCTCTCATCTAGACCTAATGCGCGCGCTGCGCGTTAGCGCTAGCCTATAGCTAGCTAGGCCTACTACTACTAGGAAGCCGAGGAGGAGGAGGAACCTGTTCGATCAATGGCGTTTGCGCCAAAATGCATGTTGGTTTTAAGATTGTATCATTTTGATTTCCAGTTACAAACATTATTTTTTAAATGTCTTGAAGTTGTTTTCTTTCTTGAAATAACAGCCTTATCTTTTCTTGTATAGGGATCCCGTGGGGCCGGGCACTCCAGTGGCGGATCCATTGCAGGGCGGGGGCATGGTAAGGGGGTGGGGGGCACGGCCCCCACCCCATCGCAAAAAAAGAAGTAAAAAACAAAGATGGTAACCACAATTTTACCTTTTAAAAAAAACAAAAGAAGACGGGCCCCCAACCCTGGCAACAACAAAAAAAAGTTTATAAAAAGCTCACTACCCCCATACGGGGTGGCCGCTCTAATGGGTTACTTTTTTTCACACAAAAAAACAAAAACACAGGCTATATATTCATCATGAAACTATATAGCTTGCATGCAGTTAAGAAAATTGAGGATACAATGTCACGGTGTTGTCGTCTCCTCCCCCCCCCCCCCCCCCCAAAAAAAAAAAAAAAAAAAAATAAAAAATTAAAAAATAAAATTTAAAAAAATTATTAAATAAATAAATAAATAAATAAATAAAATAATAATAATAATTAGGCCTACTTAAACAATAAGTAAAGAGGGCATGACAACATTGCATGTAGGAAAAGAAGTGAACGACAAGGACAAAATAGGAGGGTAAAAGGGATCAAATGGCCAAATGAGTGGGGAACTTGCCTTCCAGGCTGACTCTCTTAGTTGACTGATTGATTTATTGATCTTTATTCGCCAAGGTTCCAACATAGTAAGAATAACATATCAAAATTAAGTCAGCTAGAACAGGATAACCCAGTGGGGCCCCCGACATGTACACAATTAATAAGTTAAAATAGAAATATTTACAGACCGATAAGAAGAAAAAAGACATATTAAAGATAATAATGATGATAATAATAATAACAACCTTAAACTGATGAAAGAAATGATATTAAGTACAAGAATAAAAGAAGAAGGAGAAGAAGAAAAGGAGTAGGAGGAGGGGGAGGAGGAAGAGGAAAATAAAAATGAATATATGTAGAATTTCTATAACGTATACAAAAACATAAGTATATACAAAATGAAAAAGTATGAACCAGCAGAAGAATAAAATTTCAATCATATTACATGTCATTTGCTTCTCTTCTCTGATCTCTCAAGTGCTAGGTATTTCTTAAATTTTCTCTTAAAATGAGCAAAGTTTCTATTTCCTTTATATTATTATAAGAAGGGAATTCCAATGTTTTATGCCATTGTAATAAAAACGAATTACCAATACTACCTACTCTTTCTGAATTTCAACCTTAAAAAACATGAACACTTGTTGTCCTCCGCAAAATAATCTTCATATCATCTTAGAGAAGCGAGGTATAGCTGTCATTGTTATAGTTAAAGGAAAATCCAACCTTGATAGCAAACTACTCTAGAGGAAAGCGAAAAATCAAAAAAGTAGAGAGTTGAAAATTTGAATGAATTCGAACAAAAAAAATACTAGAATGTTATGAAGTTTTGAAATTGAAATCACCGTAATATGGGCTTTTAGTTTTTAGATGAATCGGTAATGTCTCTGTAATGTAGTGGGCGGACAAATTTCTCAACAATTCCAAGACACAAAATGACTGATATTTCAATTTTTCAAACATATAACTCGAGATCTTCTCTTTGAAGACCTATAATAATATGCTATCAATAGTATATTTTGAGTAGTGCTCAAAGGGAAAAGGCATTTTTGGATCAAATAAAAAGAAATTAATGATATTTTTTTAACCTGACAAACAGGAGATTTATCTTCGACGACGCCACAATCCACCGACCAAAATAGTATACATAATTATAGACATTATATTGTACACAGGCGCGGATCCAGGATTTCTTAAGGGGGGGGGGGGGGGGGGAGGGCCCACTTTTTGGGGGGAAGAGGACCTTTTTTTTTTTTGGTCTCGAAATTTGAAAATTTGACATTTTGTTCCGTTGGGGGGGGGGGTGAGGTCACCTTTTTTAGGTCAGCCATTGGCATATTTTTTTAAATTTTTTTTTATATTAAAAAAAAAAAAAAAAAAAAAAAAAATCACAGAAAAGGGGGGGGGGGGGGGGTTGCTCAAAAATACGCACTTAAAAAACCGAAGGGGGTAGGGTCAACCCCCTAACCCCCTCCCCCCCCCCTCTTCCGTACGTGCCTACTCGTCTGAAAAATAGTTTTTCCCCTCCCGCGCGAAGCGCGGAAGCTTTTACGTTTCATTAAATCATTAGAAAAAGAAGACGATTCGTTGTACAGTTTTTTACTCTTAATCCTCGTCTTAATTCATCCCCCTCTCCAGCGCAAAACTCGGAAGCTTTTACGTTTCATTTAAGAGAAGTTAGACGATTCGTTGTACCGTTCTCGACTCTTAATCCTCATCTAAATTCAGTTTTCCCCTCCTCCCTCCCGCGCGAAGCGCGGAAGCTTGTACGTTTCATTAAATCATTAGAGAAAGAAGACGATTCGTTGTACCGTTCTCGAAAATAATCTTCGTCTGAATACAGATTTTACGTTTAATTAAATCATTAGCGAAATAAGACGATTCGTTGTACCGTTCTCGACTAATAATCCTTGTCTAAATTCAGTTGTCTAAATTGTCTAAATTGTCTAAATTGTCTAAATTCAGTTTCCCCCCTCCCACGCGAAGCGCGGAAGCTTTTACGTTTCATTAAATCATTAAAGAAAGAAGACGATTCGTTGTACCGTTCTCGACTCTTAATCCTTGTCTAAATTCAGTCCCCCCCCCCCCCCGCTTCGACGTTTCATTAAATTTTTAGAGAATGAAGACGATTCGTTGTTCCGCTCTCGAAAATGATTTAGTTTCCCCCACCCGCGCAAAGCGCGGAAGCTTTTACTTTTCATTAAATCATTAGAGAAAGAGGAAGATTAGTCGTACCGTTCTCGACTCTTAATCCTTGTCTAAATCAATTCCCCCCCCCCTTCCGCGCGAAGCGCGGAAGCTTCGACGTTTCATTAAATTATTGGAAGACGATTCGTTGTACCGTTCCCGAAAATTATCCTCATCTGAATTAAGTTCCCCCTGCCCTCCCCCGCGCGCGCGTAGCGCGGAAGCTTTGTCGTTTCATTAATTCATTAGAGAAAAAAGACGATTCGTTGTACCGTTCTCGACTCTTAATCCTTGTCTGAATTTCAAATATGTTCTTTGTCTATTCCCTTTTCTTCCTACGTTCTCTTCCTTTACACTCCTCTCTTTTTTGGCCGGCGTTTATTGGGGGGACCACCCCACCGCCCCCTGGCTACGCGCCTGCTGTCACATGAACATATGTTGATACCTTGTCCGCCCCGGAAGCTCAGGGGTTTTAGGCGTTTAATTACGGTCAGATGAGCATTTTTGATACCTAATTGTTACAATGGCAGGTCACTAATTGGCTTGGGGTTCAGGGGGCGGAGCCCCGGAATCTCAAGGGTTTTAGGCACTCAATTACGATCAGATGAGTATCGAGGGGCCCGCCTAAGGGCTCTTGGTTGGGTCCAGGGGGCAGATCCCCCAGAAGCTCAGGGGTTTTAGGCGTTTAATTACGGTCAGATGAGCATTTTTGATACCTTATTATTTGTGACACTAGCAGGACACTATTTGGCGTGGGGTCCAGGGGGCAGAGCCCCCAGAAATCAGGGGTTTTATGCATTAAATGACCGTCATATGAGCATCTAAGGGCCCGCCTTAGGGCCCTAGGTGGAATCCAGGGGGCAGAGCCCTTAGGATTTTAGGCATTAATTTTAATCATGGTCAGATGAGCATATTTTGATACCCAATTATAATGTGACACTGGCAGTTAACTATTTTTTCTTTCTCGCTCACTTTCTTTATATTTCTCTTTAATATACTTTTTCAAAGAAAGTGTGGGGGAGGGGCTCGAGGATCCCGATCCCCGCCGTTCCGTGCGCCCTGATTATGTAGGCATCTCAAGAAGCATTTTCTTGCCTGGCTGTAAATTTAGGAATTTGTCATTTTCCAACAAACGCATGAAGTGAGGAAAACTATCTCATTTCAGCATTATCTGTTAACCACCGTTATGGAATTATAAATAAACCACGTTTAAATTCTATTTCTCCAACCCCCCCCCCCTCCCCTATCAGTATGCCAGTGCCCCCCCCCCCCCCCTCCGATCTACACCTTGTTGGCGGGAAAATTGCAACTGATATCCCTTACCTTTCTTCATTCTCTTTTTTTCCCCTTTCCCTTTCTCTCCTCTTTCACTTTCCCTTCCCTTCCTTATCTCTCTTTTAGGTTTGCTGGGGGGAGTGCACGGTCATTTTGGTCCCCAACCCGCTCCACACATTGTTGGCGGGATTAACCGCAACTGATCTCCGCTTCTTTTCTCCCTTTTCTTTTTTTCTTCCTCTTTTTGTTCCCTTTTAGCTCTCCTTTTTTCCTTTTCCTTCCTTCTCTCTTTTTTAGCGGGGACGGGAGGGGGGGGGGGGAGGCTACGGTCTTTTGCCCCCCCCCCCTCGGTCCACAACTTGTTGGCGGGAAAATTGCAACTGATATCCCCCTTCTTTTCTTTTCTTCTTCCTATTTTGTCCTTCCCTTTATCTCCTCTTTATCTTTTTTCTTTCCCTTTCCTTCCTTCTCTTTTATTTTTTTATTGGGGGGGGGGGGGGAAGGGGAGGCAAGTCCTCCCCCCCCCGATCTCCTACTTCCCTCTTTTATTTTCTTCTTCCTCTTCTTTTTTTCCCCTTTCTCTCCTCTTTCCCTTCTTTTCCTTCTCTCTCTCTCCTTTTTTTTTTTTTTTTTTTTTTGCGGGGGGGGGGGGGGCAAGGCACGCTCGCCCCCCCCTGGATCCGCGCCTCATTCGGTTTACCCCTCCCGAGCAAAACGCGGAAGTTTTGACGTTTCATTGAATTATTAGAGAA